GCCGGTGGCTGAAACGCCGCCTTCAGTTCCACCTGTTGTCATTTAGAGACTCAGCAGTAAACATTCGATCAGTGCCTTGTTTCTCTGTGGGCGTAATTCATATCATTTACAGAGATTGGCAAAGTTTCCAAACACACCAGACCGCTCCAGCGACACTAGAGAAGAGTTAAAGTTTAAATTCAATGTGCTTTGGGAACAAAGGACAAATGGTTGGGGACGTTTTTACCGCCCCTAATTGATTAATTTTTAAAGTTAAATTATTATGAATTATGAATAGATTTGAGAGGTTTTTATCTTTAATGGCTGAATATTTTTTGTCTATTTTGTGTTTACTTTGCTGATTCTTGTCTGTCATAAGCTGCGTTTCCATTGAGCATCAAATTTCGAAATTTGAATTTGCGCATCTTAAAATGTCTAATGGAAACGCGCAAATTTCGAATGTATTACAGTTTTTCGATAAAAAGTTAATGCGCTTAAAATTGGTGGTTTTTTTGGACGTATCGAAATTACGTTTTTCGCAAAACGGCAATGGAAACACTTATTTTGATATAGTGGAGGAAGCCGGGTAGTGTTAAACCCAAAACACAGAAGAAGAAAACAGGAAGTAGCAGGTAGCAGCATCTCAAGGAAACATGACTCGCTACGTTTGGACTCACGAGGAAACTAATTACTTTTTTAAATTTAATTAAAAAAGGAAAGTGGGATTACAAACATATTGGACACAAAGCAGCAAAGGAACGCAACAATTTATAAAAACCTGGAAAGAGAAATGAACAAGGCAGGGTACGAAAAGCCGTGGAAAATTTTACTTATAAATACTTAAATAAATTAGTATAAATTTTAGTTATAATTAAACATGCTTAAAACATGCTGCATCGTCGCTGGTTCGCAGCTATGGCCACTGCTCAAAGGAACTCTTTTTTTTGTGTCTTTTAAAGAGTAACAAAACTAAGCCCATTTATATTATGTTTCAGAACGTGAAATAATTTAGAGGAAAAATAGGTAAAAATTTGGATCTATAGATGTAGATGTAGGAAATATAAAATCTCTCTGGTCTCTCAAACTGGGACTAAAACAGCCCTCATCGACTTCTCAAAACTAGCAACATTAAAGAAATACTTTCACATTAAAGGAGACATACAGTAAGATGAAAAATCCACTTGTTTAACCATGTTCCAACACTTTTTCTCTTCAGTCACACAGTTTTTCTTAGATCATCCACGCTAACATCAAGATCCTGTAAATGAGTGATGTCATTGTACCACTATGACATCACACAGCGGTTTCCCGCCTTTTGAAACAAAGCTTCTACCCATTCATTAGATTTGGTGAATAAGTGAAACTAAACAAAAACTAAAGACGAAATGTCGTTCTTTACAATCACATGTTTGTGTTTGTAGACAGCAATTTCCTATTTGAAAAAAGAAAACCCCCTCCTCCCTCTGGTGGCAGCACAGGGAGTTACAGGTGGAAAACACTTTTAGATAAATTGATAGATACTTGTAGATAAATTGATAGATACTTGTAGATAAATTGATAGATACTTCTCCCATAGGAAAAATGCAGCAGAAACACATCCAAACAAACAAATAAGTACATAAGTATAAAAATGACCAAATATAGTCACAATAGAAAAAAAGTTTTAACCATACATTTATTTTAGATAGTATTTCATATTTTAAAACATACGTGGATATGTCATGGCGTGAACAAATATGAAAACAGCATTTAGACAGAAGGGGAAGGGGGAGGTGTTTCTGTCCATCTGTGTTCGACGTTCCTGATATTAACATTCTATTTACTTTAGTATCGCCCTAAATCACAACAGTAGTCATCTAAAAAGTTGCTGATTCGCCAACACAGATCAGAGAATCAAACAGTTCAAACTCAGGAAATGCGAGTATAAAAACACATAGAGCCAGTGGCCCATGGGGTGCACTGCAAAAACTGATGAAAAGTAACTCAAGAATTACTCAAATTTGGCCAAATGTATCTTAATTGGAGCACATATCTTAAAACAAGATTTGCCAACGGGACAAAGAAAAATGATCTTGTTTTAAAAAGATACAAGAAATGTCTCCCTTGGAATGAGAAAATTAAGCATCAGTTCTTGAAATTAGACTAAACGTCTTTGTCCCATTGGGGAATCTTGTTTAAACACAGTCAGAATGTCTCAGATTAAGATAAAAACCATTCGATTCAAGCAATTATTACCTCATATTTTATCACTTTTTACAGATCACCAATGTCCAGAAATGTTAATAAATATTTGCTTGGATGGAGAGAAAAACAAATTCAGCTCTATAGCCATGTGGCAAAGTAAAGGAGAGAAATGAGAAGGATTTTTTTTTTGCATAATTAGCCTCGAATATGCTCTGAACGTATTCTAACAAAGCTCTTTTGGAAACGGCAAAATACTCCGCCCCCTGGAAACTGCAGCAGACGTTGTGGAGGTCCCGGTTTGATTAAATGAGATCTTCCGGAGTCGGGCCGTATATATTGTGCGGCACATTGGACCGCAAATCATCCCAGCCCCGAGCACGTCTGTACAACGCATTTATTAAAACGGCTGTGAAGCGTGGAGCATGGGCAGAGCGAGAGCCGGTGCTGAAGCCACTGGTTCAGGATGAAATTTCCACACTGTTATAACTGTAACCAAAGGACTTTATTTTTCCTTTTTTTTTTTACAATGTATATGCAACATGTTGTTTTTTAGTTTTGCTTCCTGGATTTTGCAGAGATCTGAGGAAAACTATGGACAAAAAGAATTGAGCAGTTTTGTTGGTTATGTAAATAAATAGACCAGTGTTTCGCAAACTTTTTTAGTCGGTGGCACAGCTTTCCATTGGAAACAATCACGTGGCACACCACCAGTATAGCTGAGAGAGACCAGAGAGAGACCAGAGAGAGACCAGAGAGAGACCAGAGAGAGATCAGAGAGAGACCAGAGAGAGATCAGAGAGAGAGACCAGAGAGAGATCAGAGAGAGACCAGAGAGAGATCAGAGAGAGAGACCAGAGAGAGATCAGAGAGAGAGACCAGAGAGAGAGAAGAGAGAGACCAGAGAGAGATCAGAGAGAGACCAGAGAGAGATCAGAGAGAGAGACCAGAGAGAGAGAAGAGAAAGAGAGAGACCAGAGAGAGATCAGAGAGAGACCAGAGAGAGATCAGAGAGAGAGAGACCAGAGAGAGAGAAGAGAAAGAGAGAGATCAGAGATAGAGAGAAACTAGAGAGAGAGAAGAGAAAGAGAGAGACCAGAGAGAGATCAGAGTGAGAGAGATCAGAGAGAGAGACCAGAGAGAGAGAGATCAGAGAGAGAACAGCGAGAGACAAGAGAGGGATCAGAGAAAGAGAGCAGCAAGAGAGACTAGAGAGAGAGGTCAGAGAGAGAGAGAGACCAGAGAGATCAGAGAGAGAGACAAGAGAGAGATCAGAGAAAGAGAGCAGCAAGAAAGACCAGAGAGAGATTAGAGAGAGAGAGAACAGAGAGAGAGATCAGAGAGAGAGAGAGATCATAGAGAGAGATCTGAGAGAGAGAGAGACCAGAGAGAGATCAGAGAAAGAGAGCAGCAAGAGAGACCAGAGAGAGAGACCAGCGAGAGATCAGAGAGATTTCAGAGAGACCATTTCCAAAGGCACACCATACAACATCTCATGGCACAGTAACGTTCCGTGGCACACTGGTTGAAAAACACTGAAATAGACCATACACTGTACACTGCAAAAATGATAAAACATAATTGCTTGAACTGAGTGGTTTTCATCTTAATCTGAGCACATTGTGACTGTGTTAAAACAACATTTGCCAAAGGGACAAAAAAGTATCGGGTAACGGCTAAGCAAACCTGAACCGAAAATGTTATTGGTAATAATCTTCTCTCTTTGAAATCTGCAAAAATAACTAATGTCTGTGTTGAGCTGAGAAAGCTGCATTCAATGACAATGTATTAGCTTCTATGGGTTCTTATGGGTTCATACATTAGTTCTGTGGTCTTTCTCTGCTCTCTCTCGTTGGTCTCTCCCTTTGGTCTCTCTTTCTCTGGTCTCTCTCTTTCTCTTTGACCCCTCTTCCTTTGGTCTCTCTCCGGTCTCTGTCTCTTTGGTCTTTCTTTCTCTGGTCCCCCTCTCTCTTTCTGGTCTCTCTCTCTGGTCTCTCTCTTTGTTCGCTCTCTGGTTTTTATCTTTCTTTGGTTTCTCTGCCTGGTCTCTCTCTTTTTGGTCTCTCTCTTTGCTCTCTCTTTTTCTGCTCTCTCTCTCTCTGTTCTCTTTCCCTCTTTGGTCTCTCTCTCAGGTATCTCTCTATTTGGTCTCTCTCTCTCTGGTCTGTCTGGTCCCTCTCTTTTTGGTCTCACTAAATGCTCTCTGTCTCTCTCTCTCTCTGCTCTCTCTCTGCTCTTCCTCTGCTCTCTCTCTCTCTCTGCTCTCTCTCTGCTCTCCCTCTGCTCTCTCTCTGCTCTTCTTCTGCTCTCTCTCTCTCTGCTCTCCCTCTGCTCTCTCTCTCTGGTCTCTCTCTCTCTGCTCTCCCTCTGCTCTCTCTCTGCTCTTCTTCTGCTCTCTCTCTCTCTGCTCTTCCTCTGCTCTCTCTCTCTCTGCTCTCCCTCTGCTCTCTCTCTGCTCTTCCTCTGCTCTCTCTCTCTCTGCTCTCTCTCTGCTCTCCCTCTGCTCTCTCTCTGCTCTTCTTCTGCTCTCTCTCTCTGCTCTCTCTCTGCTCTCCCTCTGCTCTCTCTCTGCTCTTCTTCTGCTCTCTCTCTCTGGTCTCTCTCTCTCTGCTCTTCCTCTGCTCTCTCTCTGCTCTTCCTCTGCTCTCTCTGCTCTCTCTGCTCTCTCCCTCTCTCTCTCTCTCACTCCCTCTGCTCTCTCTCTCTGGTCTCTCTCTCTCTGCTCTCTAACATCCCTACAGCAGGCCCGCAGACTGTGATCTGCTGTGACTGGAGCAGACACATGAGGCCGAGTCTCAGGTGAGAAACAGGAGAAGGGCAGTGGGAGGAGGTCAGAGGTGATGCTCCAGGCGCTGCAGAGTGGAGGACCAGATGGAGGGACATGGATCACCTGGTGTCTGAGCCAAGAACAAAAGAACGCTGCTAAAACCCCCACTGGGAACGTCACTAACCAGACTGAAGTGTGGGATCGTGCAGGTGGTGATGGTTTGGAAATGAAAGGAGGGGGACTCTATATTTTATATCTGAATTGTCAAGTTCTGTCCATGTCGGTTCGGATCTGTCCGGTTCCTGGTATCTTAAATATACGTAATCTTTATTTATACAGCGCCTTTCACAGACTCACAAAGCACTTTACAATTGTGGGCATTTGTCTCTCACTCCACACAGAGATGGGAGCGGGGTCCCCAGCAGTGATGGGAATAACGGCGTTACTAACGGCGTTACTTTTTTCAGTAACGAGTACTCTAACTAATTACTTTGACAGTAACTATAACGCTGTTATCATTTCCGACATCCCGTTACTGCGCGTTACTCAAGACGCACAGTGAACGTGTTGTCATGAGAGAAGGGAGGATGAGAAAACCTCTCAGCAATTATTGGCTGATGTAAAACATATTTCCTTTACAATCTACATGTCTACAGTTGAGAGGATGGCTCATAAATTGTGTTTTTGAAACAAATATGGGTCTTAATCGCGCTCAACCACGGCTTGTATCACCGTGAGGTCAGCCACAGAGGAGCGCATGTGAGCGCAGAAGTCGGCTGCATACAATTCCATCGATAAGCTCCTTGCTCTTCCTGGTTTATCTGCTAAGGACAGCAACAGGTTTGGCTAACATACATATAACACATTTTTACATAATCTAAAATGCACATAGGGTAATTTTTCAATTACTATAGGAATGATAAGAAAGAGAGGTGAAGTGTAAGACGGTTGATTTTAGAAATTGGATGCAGCCGGCTGCAGCAAAACAGAGGAGTTTACGGAGGACACACGCGTTTTGTTTTACTTTTTAAAACTCATTGGACTCATTTCCAAATGGAGGATTACATATCTACGCTCAAACCATTAACTGGATTTAAACAAGGAACTGGTCTGAACCGAAGTGGACTGTGCAGGTCATTTATAAGGTAAGACCCATAACTCATAGTTTTGCGTTTTGTATGAACAAACAATGCGGGCATAAAACATATTTTGCTGTAGCCAAACAAATTGTCCACTTGATTTATATGATATATATGTTCATCTGATTGGACTGAAGTCAGTGCTTCACCAGCCTCACCGCTCGTCACCGGTGTTTCCACATTCACAGTGAGAGATGAAGAGTGAACAGGACTTCAGCAGCAAAACAGCCTTTTCTAGATGGAAATATTGGCACTGTTAAAGGTAAAAATGCGCACGTCGGGTGCACATTATGTTCCAGAACAAAACGAAAAAGTAACGCAATAGTTACTTTTACTGGTAACTAGTTACTTTTATAGTGGAGTAACTCCGTTAGTAACTCAGTTACTTTTTGGGAGAAGTAACTAGTAACTATAACTAATTACTTTTTCAAAGTAACGTGCCCAACACTGGTCCCCAGTACAGGAGGCATATGTTTGACCTATTTTACTTGTTTTCAGTGGTTGAGTAAACCGGAGCACCAGGAAGAAACCTACGCAGACACAGGGAGAACATGCAAACTCCACTCAGAAAGGCCCTGTTCCGACCGGGATTCAAACCCAGGACATACTTGCTGAGAAGCGAGAGTGCTATATCCACTCAGCCACTGTGCCGCCCAATGTTTGGGTTTTTGAATTTTGTTTTTACCTTGGGCTTTAATTTTTCATAATTAAATCATTATTTAATTCCTGCATTTTTGAGTCCTCCTTCACTTCACCCCGGTCGTGACAGGGACTTAACTCTCCAACCAGACTATAGTTCCTGGATCTATCACTAATTTTCAAATGAAAGTTTAAATCATCTTATTCCGACAGAAAAAGGAACAAAAAGAGGACTACATTTTTGTCCGTTTTCAACTAAATTATGAAACATGTTGTACCTCATAATAAATCACACAGTCTCCAGATCCACACTTGTTGCATCATATACACACTCCAAGTATATATGATTCATGACTGTAAGAAGTCTGCACACACTTATGCTAATGCTAATGCTAGCCCAGGCAGATATCATAAACACAAAGTTCACAGTCATGTAGAAAACATAGCTCTGTTGATATACACACAACACCAAGGAGTAACACATCTGAGACTTAGCAATTTGCTAATTAAGATTTCATTAGATTGTTACGGATTTAGTTTTATTCAAGTGTTAAAACAAACGGAACAACACAAATGATTAAACAGTTTTTATTATTCGATGCCAAGTAAATACAATTGTTCATGTATTTGAAATAAGTTCATGGGGCGGGAGTTTTAACTTCTTTCCCTCTCTCTGGTCTCTCTCTGGTCTCTCTCTGGTCTCTCTCTCTGGTCTCTCTCTGGTCTCTCTCTGGTCTCTCTCTGGTCTCTCTCTGGTCTCTCTCTGGTCTCTCTCAGGTCTCTCTCTGGTCTCTCTCTGGTCTCTCTCTGGTCTCTCTCTGGTCTCTCTCTGGTCTCTCTCTCTGGTCTCTCTCTGGTCTCTCTCTGGTCTCTCTCTGGTCTCTCTCTGGTCTCTCTCTAGTCTCTCTCTAGTCTCTCTCTGGTCTCTCTCTGGTCTCTCTCTGGTCTCTCTCAGGTCTCTCTCTGGTCTCTCTCTGGTCTCTCTCTCTGGTCTCTCTCTGGTCTCTCTCTGGTCTCTCTCTCTGGTCTCTCTCTCTGGTCTCTCTCTGGTCTCTCTCTGGTCTCTCTCTGGTCTCTCTCTGGTCTCTCTCTGGTCTCTCTCAGGTCTCTCTCAGGTCTCTCTCTGGTCTCTCTCAGGTCGCTCTCAGGTCTCTCTCTATCTAAAAGATTGTTGGTTGGATCGTTCGCAGGACTACAGCAGGACTAAAGCAGGGCTGAAGCAGGGCTGAAGCAGGACTAAAATTGCACTGAACCAGGACTAAGGCAGGACTAAAGTTGCACTGAACCAGGACTAATGCAGGACTGAAGCAGGGACTAAAGCAGGACTGAAGCAGAACCAAAGCAGGACTGAACCAGGACCGACGTAGGACCGAAGCAGGGACCCAAAGCAGGACCGAAGCAGGACCGAAGCAGAGACTAAAGCAGGACTATGGTTGCACTGAACCAGGACTAAGGCAGGACTAAAGCAGGACTGAAGCAGGACTGAAGCAGCACTAAAGCAGGACTGAAGCAGGACTAAAGCAGGACTAAAGCAGGACTGAAGAATACGGACTCCCCTGTCAGAGCCAAACCACCACTTTCCCAAAATACTACTTTTCAGACAAATAAACCCAGAAACGAGCTGTAAAGCAGTTTCCAACTCGTAAAAAGGAGTTGAATGGAAGTTAACAGACAAACAACAAAAACTCTGCCGTTCGATGCTTCTGTGTTTGTGATGTTGACACAATGACACGCTGTTGTGACGCGGGTGTCTAGATTTTTGCATGATTCTTGCTTGGGTCGTTCTGGTCCTCCATGGTTCTTTTATATAACTGTGGTCCTTCATGGTTCTTTTACATAACTGTGGTCCTCCATGGTTCTTTTACATAACTGTGGTCCTCCATGGTTCTTTTACATAACTGTGGTCCTCCATGGTTCTTTTACATAACTGTGGTCCTCCATGGTTCTTTTATATAACTGTGGTCCTCCATGGTTCTTTTATATAACTGTGGTCCTCCATGGTTCTTTTATATAACTGTGGTCCTTCATGGTTCCTTCAAACTTGTAAAGGCACGGTGGAAGCATCCTTTTTGTCCCTTATCAACCACTGTATTTAAAGATGTTGCATTGACATTTATAATTAGAATTCTAAGTCTATGTCACTATGTCTATGTCTATGACTTCAAAAACATGGTGGAGGTAAATATTCTTAAAAAGCTCACATTTATTATTAGTTAACATGTTTTTTTCATTTCATTTTTTCATTTTTTTCACCTTTAATTAGCTGTTACTTATTGAGGGCTAAACTAAAGCGTTACCCTTTAATGTTTTTCTAACAGTAAAACAATAAAATGAATGACATATCCTCACAGAACTCAAACAGAAAAGAAACACTGCAGTCAACCTCCATGGGACATTTTACACAAATACATGTACACAGTTATTTGTTTCTTGTAAACTCGCAGTGAAATATCAAAAAGGCATTTAAAAAGTGAAATGAATTACAGCAGGGGTCATCAACTATATTGGCCGGAGTTTTACCAGACCCTCAAGGTCCGATTCAGATTCATTTATTTGCCATTTGCAGTAAAACTACGGAAATATAAAAAGTATATAACAATTAATTAGTTTTTTCTTTTTTTCTTTGACATTTTTTGTTTTGAATATTTTGAAGGTGAGTTTGTTATTTTGAAATTTTTATCACATGGAAATTAGTAAACTGAATTTTTAATGACTGAAATGCAAAGACAAAAATATCCAAACATGCTTTTTCAGGGTTCACATTTTCTAATGGAAAAATTAAAGATACATTTAAAATTCAAAATCTGATGACAAAATAAATCTTCCATATAAAACCTCATTGAAATACATCTAAAAAATTCCCCAATGTGCACAAGACAAGTGCATAAAAATTGTAAACTAAAACAGTTTCAATACAAACTCAAGATTACTCAAGTGCCTTGTTCAAACTGAAAACAACTTGTGGAAAGAAGTTGTTACAAAACGAGATGTCCTGCACCTCAACTCAACGTACAATATCTTCTGCCAGAAGGAAGAAGCTGGAACATGGCTTTCCCGGGGCCAGAAGAGTCATTTATTATTATTCAAAATTCATGAAAATGTTGCAAAACAGGAGAGTGACAGAGAAAATAAGGAAGATAATAATAATAAAGTAAAAAAATAAGTCAAATAAAACATTTGAAAAATGTAAAAAAAAAATAAAAAAAATACACAAATTATATTAAAGATGCAGTCAGTGATTTATTTCCAGAAGCGTTTTTTTTGTTTTTATATTGTGGGAAAACATCCCTAAACGCTGAAAGAAGTCAAGTAATCATGTGTTTTCAAATAGTAAAGGAATTTTAAAGGAACCAGATGCCTCTCCAAGAATTAATAAAACATATTTTGGAGCGGACTGATAAAAATGAACCAATGGGATGCGTTTACCCCCTTCACCCTCTTCCTGTGTCTCACGAGTGCGCGCACCTGAGTTGTCGGATTATTTTCTAAAACCTGAAAGGGCTGAACAGAAAATGCCAATTTCACGTTTGTCACCCACTTTCCCTGCTGATGAAAGATGCTGGATGTTTGGTTTGGTGGAGAGGCGAGGAGGGGGGAGTGGTTTCGAGTTGGTGCTACGGCTAAGCTAACAAAATTGCTTACTGCACCTTTAAAAAAAAAAAAGTTAAGATCCTCCCAATTTTGTATTCCAGCATATACAATTGTGTGTGTGTTGTGTGTGTGTTGTGTGTGTTTTCTGCAGATGATGATGGGTCCCGTGTCGTCGTTTGAGCTCCGTAACCTGACGTCTCTGATGGAGTATTCTGTGGCCGTCTCTGCTCTGTACGACGAGGGCGTGTCCGAGCCTCTGACCGACGCTTTCACCACCAGTGAGACCTTTAAATAATCTTTGAATAATCTCAATCTGAAACACACTGAGGATGAGAGATTAGAGATTACTCACCCATGAACAAATCACTCTGAACGTCATGAGAGCCTTTAAATGGAAAAACTAAATGTAAGTATAAGATTACAGATTATAGATTAAGTAAAATGGTTCTTTTCTCTTTGTGAACCATGTTCCTTTTAAAAGACAGACCTGGGGTTATTTTTAGTTCCCTCCACGATGGAATCAATTGATCTTCTTTTGAACCAGGAGCGAACTAAGACTGAAGCAGGACTAAACCAGGACGGGACCAGAACTGAACCAGGACTGAAGTGTGACTAAACTGGGACTGAAGCAGGACTAAAGCGGGACTGAAGCAGGACTGAAGGTTGGACTGAAGAAGGACGGGACCAGGACTGAAGAGGGACTGAACTGGGACTGAAGCAGGACGGAAGGTTGGACTGAAGAAGGACTGGACCGGGACTGGACCAGGACTGAACCAAGACTGAAGCAGGACTAAACCAGGACGGGACCAGAACTGAACCAGGACTGAAGTGGGACGAAACTGGGACTGAAGCAGGACTAAGGCGGGACTGAAGCAGAACTGAAGCGGGACGGAAGGTTGGACTGAAGAAGGACTGGACTGGGACTGGACCAGGACTGAACCATGACTGAAGCAGGACTAAACCAGGACGGGACCAGGACGGGACCAGGACTGAAGAGGGACTGAACTGGGACTGAAGCGGGACGGAAGGTTGGACTGAAGAAGGACTGGACCGGGACTGGACCAGGACTGAACCAAGACTGAAGCAGGACTAAACCAGGACGGGACCAGAACTGAACCAGGACTGAAGTGGGACGAAACTGGGACTGAAGCAGGACTAAGGCGGGACTGAAGCAGAACTGAAGCGGGACGGAAGGTTGGACTGAAGAAGGACTGGACTGGGACTGGACCAGGACTGAACCATGACTGAAGCAGGACTAAACCAGGACGGGACCAGGAATGAACTATGACTGAAGCAGGACTAAACCAGGACGGGACCAGGACTGAAGAGGGACTGAACTGGGACTGAAGCAGGACGGAAGGTTGGACTGAAGAAGGACTGGACTGGGACTGGACCAGGACTGAACCATGACTGAAGCAGGACTAAACCAGGACGGGACCAAAACTGAACCAGGACTGAAGTGGGACTAAACTGGGACTGAAGCAGGACTAAAGCGGGACTGAAGCAGAACTGAAGTGGGACGGAAGGTTGGACTGAAGAAGGACTGGACTGGGACTGGACCAGGACTGAACCATGACTGAAGCAGGACTAAACCAGGACGTGACCAGGACTGAAGAGGGACTGAACTGGGACTGAACTGGGACTGAAGCGGGACGGAAGGTTGGACTGAAGAAGGACTGGACCGGGACTGGACCAGGACTGAACCAAGAGTGAAGCAGGACTAAACCAGGAAGGGACCAGAACTGAACCAGGACTTAAGTGGGACTAAACTGGGACTGAAGCAGTACTAAAGCGGGACTGAAGCAGAACTGAAGCGGGACGGAAGGTTGGACTGAAGAAGGACTGGACTGGGACTGGACCAGGACTGAACCATGACTGAAGCAGGACTAAACCAGGACGGGAGCAGGACTAAAGCGGGACTGAAGCAGGACTGAAGCGGGACGGAAGGTTGGATTGAAGCAGGACTGGACTGGGACTGGACCAGGACTGGACCGGGACTGAACCGGGACCGGACCAGGACTGAATCATGACTGAAGCAGGACTAAACTAGGACGGGACCAGGACTGAAGTGGGACTGAAGCAGGACTGAAGCCGGACGGAAGGTTGGACAGAAGCAGGACTGGACCAGGATTGGACCGGGACTAAACCGGGACTGAACCGGGACTGGGCCAGGACTGAACCAACACAAAAGCAGGACTGAAGCAGGACTGAACCAGGACAGAACCGGGACTGAACCGGGACTAAAGCAGGACTGAAGCAGGACAGAACCGGGACTGAACCGGGACTAAAGCAGGAATGAAGCAGTATTAAAGTATCCTTCTCTTTCTCCTCAGTTCTCTCTCAGTTTCTTCAATAATCTCCCTCTTGGCATCAGAAACACTTAGTTAAAGGAGACGTCAGTGCCCCTCGTTTACGGCTCACATTAAAAGGTCGTTTGGTCGTCTGAATATTCCATCTCACTAACACTTATCGATCTGCGGCAAATATCCTCAGAGCAACAAGCGTTTGGCCTCGGTGCTGACGCAGCTCAGAGAAATGCTTTTATCCAACACCTCTGGACCCGCTGCTTCTGAAAGAGATCATTTTTGTTCATGTTTTTAGTTCAAGCACTGGTCAAGGTCTTTGTCAACGCACTTCATAATTATCTGTGAAAAAGAACAAATAAGTACCGTACTTTCTGGACCATAAGACGCACCTGTAAATGTAAAAAAGTAAATGTTGTCCAAATACAGGCCGAATATAAGCTACAGGTTTTCATGTTCAATGTAGCAGATGGAGGCTTCACCGTTAGCTTCCACGACTCATTTACCATCATCTGTTTTGACACTAAACCAGAAGCTTCTAAAACTTGATAGATAACAGGTCCATAAACACTACCACGGCGCATATTTACCACAATAGGAATACACATATTAGCTGCATCGTTATAATAGCCGCAGGGGTCAAAGAACAAGGACACAACGACCGCACACATCAGAGGGAGTAGGTCTTGTTCAGGGGAAAGAACCCACGACCACCAGGCCCATAAGGCCAACGCGTCATCAACAAGAGCCACTGTCGCCCCCAAAAAATGATCAACTGTAGAGTGGAGTTCCCGACATTAGCATGAATGAAGCTTAAAGAACCAAGGTTTGTTGTTGATGATGGTCACTGGTTTTTTCATCCACATGTGTTTTACAGTTGTGTTCTACAATATAGTTATAGTTGTGTACACTTTCGCTGCTATCACGGACACAACTAAATCCCAGTTAAAGTGGTCCTAGGCCCCGACCGCGATTAGGTGCTGTGTGTCCGCAGCGACTGGGCTTGAGCATGGTTGCTGAGAACGGTTGAGAGAAGTGGGCCTGAGCACGGTTGTCTAAAGCCCAGACGAGGGGGGTCGATGTGGTGGGGAGTGGGGAGGGTTGAGGTGTGGTGGCGATGTGATATTGTGTGTCACATTATATATTCCTGCTGCGCCCGCTGTGACGTACATTTTCGCACACGCCTCTTTCTGGAAGTCACATACTTTTGCAAATAAAAGTGTAAATAGAGAAAGACACATCTCACACTTGTTCACGTTGACTGTGATGCAAAGAACGCGATCCATGCTTGAGTTGTTGGCCATTCAGTTGTGTGTTCTGACAATACACTCACAGTTGTGTGTTCTACAATATAGTTACAGTTGTGTGTTCTACAGTAAACTTACAGCTGTGTATAAGAATAGTTACAGTTGTGTGTCCTCGCAGCTCCAGTGCCCGGCCCTTTGAACCTTCGCTCCAGTGACATCACAGAGCACAGTTTCAGGGTCAGCTGGGACCACTCCGCCGCGGACATCGAGCTCTACCGTCTGTCCTGGGCGCCGTTCACCGGGGGAAACACCCAGGAGGTCAGCTCTGCTAACACACACACACACAACACGTCACAGATGACTCTACAGGAATCCAAACCCGATGACTGAATCCAAGAGAAATCAGAGAGATGTGTGCGCTGACAGGACAGGGAGCCATGAACAATACAGTCTTTGTTTAGCACAGGGACACAGCCAGGATCTATTATAACAGGGCTGTCAACGGTTCAGGTTAAAGAAGACATACTGTGGCCTGCAAAAGTAAGATGTATTACTCAGATAATTTTATAATGACTGCAGAATGAAACGAAAATGTGAAGTATTTCAATCCACTGTGTAACTCTATGAAAATTCAAATATATTTGATTCAATATGTTTGCGTATATTTGTGTTGAGGACTTTACATTGTTGTAGATTCACCATCAACAGATTATAGAATAAAACAGTTCAAACAGGAAATGCATCCATCCATTTTCTTCCCCTCAATCCATTTTAACCAAAACCTCACCCAATTTCTGCCAGCACCAGCCCTTCACTGCAGGTGGAGAGTCCACCAGAGGACAGCTGCTCTGTCTGTGATGGAATATCTTGGGTTTTTCAGTGGGGCTTCAGGCAAAGCAGGGTTAAGTGTCTTGCCCAGGGACACAACGACAGCAGACATCAGTGCGAGTAGTTGGAGTAGGTTTTATGGGAGGGATCAAACCCCAGACCTTCAGGCTCAAAGGCCAACACATGCAATGTTAAAAAACACAAGAAGCAGAGACCAATGTCCATAAAATGTTGATAAATGCTGATAATTGTTGTTGAATGTTGAGTGTCCTTGATCACCACTGTCCTTAGACCCACTCTAAAAACCCAGAGGGGTAAAAGTGAGAAACCTCGGGGAGGCCCACATTGAAGGAGGGATCCGCTCCCAGTTTATATTTATAGTGCACCTTACATTCGAAAGAAACATCAAAGTGCTACATATAAAAATCAATATACCAACAAAAGAAAGGACATTTTTATCTACATTTGCCCTCAGTTGTGTTGTTGTGTTTCTTCAGTTGTGTTGTTGTGTGTCTTCAGTTGTGTTGTGTCTCTCCTGCAGGAGATCCTGAGCAGCTCGAAGCAGCACTTCCTGCTCTCAGGCCTCAGTGCGTCCACAGAATACGAGGTGATGCTGACGGCCGTGTTCCACGACGAGTCCGAGAGCGACACGGTGTCCCTGATCGAGACCACACGTGAGTCGTCCAATCAGAACGCATGTCACTGACAACACGTGAGTCATCAATCAGAACGCATGTTACTGACAACACACAAGAGTCGTCCAATCAGAACGCTCGTTACTGACAACACACAAGAGTCGTCCAATCAGAACGCATGTTACTGACAACACACAAGCGTTTACTTTGAAAAAATTAGAGTGTTCAAAGCAGACTCGGTCACCTGAATACCGCAGCTAGGAATAATGGAATAGGACTCCGGTTCTATTTTGTGGGTTTTCTTCAATCAGAACGCTCGTTACTGACAACACACAAGAGTCGTCCAAATCAGAACGCTCGTTACTGACAACACACAAGAGTCGTCCAATCAGAACGCATGTTACTGACAACACACAAGAGAGTCGTCCAATCAGAACGCATGTCACTGACAACACGTGAGTCATCAATCAGAACGCATGTTACTGACAACACACAAGAGTCGTCCAATCAGAGCGCTCGTTACTGACAACACACACGAGTCGTCCAATCAGAACGCTCGTTACTGACAACACACAAGAGTCGTCCAATCAGAACGCATGTTACTGACAACACACAAGAGAGTCGTCCAATCAGAACGCATGTTACTGACAACACACAAGAGAGTCGTCCAATCAGAACGCATGTTACTGACAACACACAAGAGAGTCGTCCAATCAGAACGCATGTTACTGACAACACACAAGAGTCGTCCAATGAGAACGCATGTTACTGACAACACACAAGAGAGTCGTCCAATCAGAACGCATGTTAGAGTGATGTGCTGCTGCTTCGCTCTGCATTGGGAAGTAGTTTTTACACCACCCAAAATTGACTTTTTCCTTCTTTACTCCATGTTACAACATTGTTCCTCATCAGTCACAAACCTGGAGTAGATTTTAGACCCATTCACGCTCACATCAGCAGCTTCTTGCACAAACATCTAGATCCTTTCCGTCCTGTCCTGTGATACCACTCCATTTTTAAAACAAGAGTATTGCCTTTTAAAAAAAATGTCTCAGGTGAAATTACATTCTTTACAATCACATGCCTGTGTTTGCAGACGGTAATATTCAAATTTGAACAATATGAAACTAAAATAAATAATTCGGTTGCCTCTGGTGGTGGTAAAGCAAGTTACAGGTGGAACGCATTTTTCACTCTTCATACTTGTTTTACCATATGTTTTAGACTGAAGATATTATTTCACATTCTAAAACATAGTATGACAAAGTAAGTAGTCTCATTATATGTTTAAAGACCCAAAGTATTGCATAATGAATCTTCTTTAAACAAGACCAGTGTCCATCTAACAGTTTCAACTTATTTCCTCAGTGACAAAGGCCACAACTGTTGCTACGACAACTTCAGGTCTGCTTTTCTAACGCTTCTAATGTGTCTGATATCCATCCATCCATCCATTTTCTTCTGCTTCATCCGTTGCTGGGTCGCAAGGGCAGCGGTCTAAGCAAAGACACCCAGACTTCCCTATCCACACACACTTCCTCCAGCTCATCCGGGTGTCAGTTAAATATCCATGTAACTTGTCTCTCATTCGCAAAACAGTTATCACAATTGTTCACATGCATGTACTTTTTTACGTCTTTAGATCATCTGTCACCAATCAGCTCTCAGCCCATATTGTATTGAAATTATGTATTCACCCACATTTCCTAGAATGAGTCTGGTGTGTGTGTGAATGGTTGGTGGTGGTGGGAGGGGTCAAAGGCACATACTGGTTGCCTCGCCAGTATTGTCAGATGTGGCTACAGTGTAGTGTGTGTTGTAGGGAATTAGCAAAGAGTGTAGCTGACATAAACAATAACAATGGTGGTTGGCACAGGGACTAAAATTAAATAAAATATGCAACACCAGAATGAGACTAAGGTGGTCAACGACACAGGCTGCAGGTCAGGGGTGTCCAAACTTTTCACTAAGAGGGCCAATTTAGTTCACCAGACTATTCCAAGGGCCGACATCACGGACTGAAAAACTGTCTTGACTGGCATCGGGCTGTTCTGAGCTTTATGATGATCTATAACAGAGCTGAAGTTGGCTGAATGACAAATGTTTACCGTCTCAGTGTACAGTATTTGCAAATAAAGTCAACATCATGCCGTGCTTTAGAACAAGGTGTATATTGGCTGAGCTGAAGTTGGATGGATGACAAAGTGAACTTGAGTTTATGATCTCAAAAACTATTTTGGGTTAGCATGGCAGAGGGCCACACAAAAAAACACTGAGGGCTGCAATTGGCCCCCGGGCTTGAGTTTGGACATGTCTGCTGTAGGTGAAGGAGGGCGGAGTTGCGTAAGAGACTATTTGAACCCATGTCTTTCCTTTGGATCAGAATATTTATGTGTTTGAGATGTTTTCTAATAAGATGTTGGTCTGACGCATAACTCTGATTGTGTGTTTGCTTGTTGCTAGGAACAAAACATAAATCGTAATTCCCCCAAATCCCTGGTTCTAACATTCTCACACTGATGTTCCAAATGGCTCGCTACGCTTGAATGAACGAGTGAATAATTGTGATGTTATTATTGTCCCTGAACCTTTTAGCGCTGGCATCGCTAGCATGAGTCGTTAGCAGGATTATGTCAGGGCCATCTGGACTGCCTTAGACCACAGAGGAGCCTGCAGCTAATTGAGCCTGAGTGGTTTTTCCACTGCCTCCAACTTTTAAAAGCAACAAGTCGTCTGTTGTCTTTGATTTAGCGTCTCAGAAATAACAGTTTCTAAACAGCTACTTACAAACGCAGACAGGAGTTTGGGGCAAATGACAGGACAGTTCTCTCAACACCGTGGTTCTCAGCTCTGAGACGAAGCAGACTGGACAGACTCAGGCATAACTGTAGGGTCATTCTATAGATGGAGATAGATAGATGAGAAGAGATAGATTCTGTCACAGGTCTCTCTGTGGTTTTCACAGATGTACAGAGCAAGTCGGCACCATCGACTTCAGAAGTTCAGTGTCCGAGTCATTCCTTTAAGACTGCCGAAAGCATTTTCAACAACCACTCGCACTGTGCTTGCCCGGTCGTACCACACCATAGTACAAATTACATTTCATACTAAGGTCTGGAGGTGCTCCATTGAGCTCCGTGAACAGGTGGGAGGGGTTAACTCCTTTTGCAGATTGAAACGATTGGATCTGAGTTTACCGTGACGTATGTAGTGCGCCCGAGTCTGTTGTTAGCATTTAGCATTTAGCCTAGCCATCTCCTTTGCCGCTAACGGAGCCCGTGGGGAGTAGCGCCACAATTTCTTCCAGCGATTACATTTGCTAAACATTCTTCTTGCTTCGGCTTCAATTTCTTGATGGAACCAGACCGGATTACTTTACTATCACATTTTTTGCCATTGCCAAACTACAACCTTCCCGTTCGACCCAAACTCTTGACGTCACCCACAACTAACTACAACACCCGCCTTCCGCACGCGCTGATTTGTCGGTCAAAATTCAATGGATTGTAATCGCTAACATGGGGACCAGACCCAGACGTTACATGCAGAGAAATGGTGATTGAGCGGAGTGTACGGATGGCTAAGGCCAGGCTAGCGCTGTGCTGAATTTTCTATTAGATACTTGCTGTTAGTCTGCCAGTTCTGCAGGGGGCAGCAGAGTCCCCTGGGAGGTAATAGCAGCAGTCAACGATATTATAATACATACATTATTTTTATAGATCCATGCATATACCCCATCAGTGTTACTAGTTACGCGAGTAAATGATGTGATCTGACAACCCCTTCCACGCTGAGGAGATACCACTTTTGATGGAAAAGCACCCACACTCAGCCGTGCCGTGCCGTGCCGTATCGTGACTATGGAAACGCGGCATTATTCTCTTGTTTGTGCTGTGGTTAAACTGTGTGTGTGTGTGTGTGTGTGTGTGTGTGTGTGTGTGTGTGTGTGTGTGTGTGTGTCTGTGTGTGTGTGTGTCTGTGCGTGTGTGTGTCTGTGTGTGTGTCTGTGCGTGTGTGTGTGTGTGTCTGTGCGTGTGTGTCTGTGCGTGTGTGTGTGTGTCTGTGTGTGTGTGTGTGTGTGTGTGTCTGTGCTGTGTGTGTGTCTGTGCGTGTGTGTGTCTGTGTGTGTGTGTGTGTGTGTCTGTGCGTGTGTGTGTGTGTCTGTGTGTGTGTGTGTGTGTGTGTGTGTGTGTCTGTGTGCGTGTGTGTGTGTGTGTGTGTGTGTCTGTGCGTGTGTGTGTCTGTGTGTGTGTCTGTGCGTGTGTGTGTGTTTGTGTGCGTGTGTGTGTGTGTGTCTGTGCGTGTGCGTGTGTGTCTGTGTGTGTGCGTGTGCGTGTGCGTGTGCGTGTGCGTGTGCGCGCGTGTGTGTGTGTGTGTGTGTGTGTGTGTGTGTGTGTGTGTGTGTGTGTGTGTGTGTGTGTGTGTGTGTGTGTGTGTGTGACCTCCAGTGGCCCAGCAGCAGATTCAGAACCTGCAGGTGAGCGGTGAGACCACAGAGAGTCTGGAAGCGTCTTGGGAAATGGAGGACGTCAGTGTGCAGAGCTACAGGCTGACGTACGCCGCAGTGGGAGGAGACCAGGACCAGGACACTGTGAGTCCAAAGACCCCGACCAGGACCAGGACCACGAGACTGTGAGTCCAAAGACCAAGATCAGGACCAGGACCAGGAGACTGTGAGTCCAAAGACCCCGACCAGGACCAGGACCACGAGACTGTGAGTCCAAAGACCAAGATCAGGACCAGGAGACTGTGAGTCCAAAGAGCAGGACCAGGACCAGGAGACTGTGAGTCCAAAGAGCAGGACCAGGACCAGGAGACTGTGAGTCCAGAGACCAGGACCAGGACACTGTGAGTCCAAAGACCCCGACCAGGACCAGGACCACAAGAATGTGAGTCCAAAAACCCCCGACCAGGACCAGGACCAGGAGACTGTGAGTCCAAAACTCTATCCAGGATCGGCTCAGGACCAGGACTTAAGCCTGGGGAACCTTTAAATCATATGCAATATTATTTATTTAATTTTAATTTTATGGAACCTTAAATTTCCTCAAAACCTCAAAGTGCTACAGATTAAAACACAACAAATAAACAAATATAACTGAATCAAAAGTACATAAAATATCAACAAACATGAAGGGATGAGAACCAAAATCTGTCAGTACAATGTTATAGGGACAAATCTGGGCACAACCCTCTGTCTTTATAATGTTGGAAAAAAAATCCCTGCGAGTCACTATTTGACCCTTTGGGCTGAGAGCCAAACAATTTAAACTAAAATTGTGAATTGTGTCATAAAAACTAAAATGTATTAGTTTTCACTGTTCAAACATTTCAGATGGAAGCCCAAAGAGTCAAAGAGTGACTCACAGACTGTTGTTACAAACATTTGTGTAGAAAGTTAGGGACCTCAGCTTTAATAAGGCTGTGCATGTGTCTTGTTTCTGACTCTGAAAGGACTTAGCACTTTAATACATCCTGCTCCAGAGACCAGTGGGTCATCTGCTCTCATCAGAAAACTGCTTGTGCTTTTAATCTCTCTCTCTCTCTCTCTCTCTCTTGCTCTCTTGCTCTCTTGCTCTCATTCCCCCTCTCTCTCTCCCCTCACGCCTTTTTTTTCTCTCCTCTCCTTTCTCCCTTCTTTTCATTCTCCTCTCTCCCCTCTTTCTTCACTCCTCTCTTCCCTATTTCCTCTCTTCCTATTATCTCTCTCGCCTTTTTCTTCTCTCCTCTCCTTTCTCCCTTCTTTTCATTCTCCTCTCTCCCCTCTTTCTTCACTCCTTTCTTCCCTATTTCCTCTCTTCCTATTATCTCTCTCCTCTCTCGCCTTTTTCTTCTCTCCTCTCCTTTCTCCCTTCTTTTCTCTTCTCCTCCCCTCTTCTCTCCTTTCTCCCCTCTTTCTTCACTCCTCTCTTCCCTCTTTCCTCTCTTCCTATCCTCTCTATCCTCTTTGATCTCCTCTCCTTTCTCCCCTCATCTCTCTTCTCCTATCCTCCCCTCCCCTCTTCTCTCCCATGTTCTTCACTCCTCTCCTCCCCTCAACTCCTCTTTTCTGTCCTCTCCTCTGTCCCCTCTTTCTTCTCTCCTCTCCTATCTAAATCCTCTCCCCTCTTTCCTCTCCTTTCTCCCCTCTTCTCCCTTCTCTTCTCCTCTCTACTCTTCTCCTCAAAATCTACTTTTGTCTCCCCATCTGCTCTCTCTCCACTCTCTCTTCTCCTCACCCTTTCCTCAGCTCTCCCCCCTCCTCCGTCCTCTCCCCTCTCTCCTCTCCTCTATTTGCTCTCTCTCCTCTCTCTCCACTCTTCTCCTCACTCTCTCCTCTCCTCTCTCCCCTCTTCCGTCCTCTCCCCTCTCTCCTCTCTTCCCCCTTCTCTATCTGCTCTCTCCCCTCTTCCGTCCTCTCTCCTTTCTCCACTCTTTTCCTCACTCTCTCCGCTCCTCTCTCCCCTCTCTCCCACTCTTATCCTCCCTCTCTCCCCTCCTCTGTCCTTTCCCCTCTCCTCTCTTCCTTATTCTCCTCCCTCTCTCCCCTCCTCTGTCCTCTCCCTTCTCTCCCCTCCTCTGTCTTTTCCCCTCTCCTCCTCTATCTGCCCTCTCTCCCCTCTTCTCTCCTCTCATCTCCTCACTCTCTCCCCTCCTCCTCTATTTGCCCTCTCTTCCCTCTCCTCTCTCCCCTCTTTTCCTCACTCTCCCCTCCTCCGTCCTCTCCCCTCTCTCATCCATCCATCTCTGGGGTAAGGGTCCTTGAAGCAGGCTCCACTTATCTCCCTGTTCTGTCATGCACAATCGCACACCTCCTCTTCAGACTATAGTCCTCCCCCCTCCGCCTCCCTCCTTCCCCCCCCCTTCCTCTTCAGACCTGTGTCCTCCTATCTTCTCCCCTCTTCTTCTTCTTCTGCCCCTGGTTTTAATTTCCGCGGTGCAGCAGAAGATGGAGAGCCGAGGCGAGACACGAGACATCCTATTATCTTTTCAGCAGCCATTCACCTCCGCGGCGAGGGGGGGAGTCAGGGGGGGAGAGGGGGGAGGCGGTTGGAAAGTGCAGCGGCTATACGGCCCCTTCAGAAAAGAAACTATTACTTAACAAAATGGGACTGGGCTTTAAAGTTGCCCGCTGATAGATAGGGGTTATTCCAACTTTTTAGCAGAAAGTTTTTTAAGTGGTAATTTTGTGTGAGGAGAGCATTATTGTCTCAGGAGCTCAGCAGATGCTTAAGTTCCAGGATTTAGATTTTATAATATCCATAGTTCACCCTTCACCCCCCGCTGTTCCTGATATGAAGACTGGAAAAGAGCTGTTTTGATAAAAAATTTCAGTTTCTTACCCGGTCGCTTACTTTTGGGTAAACTTTCAAAATACTGTTCATTACCTGCTCATCTCTAATTTGACAAAAGCGTTCAAGACATTTAAGTTCAACCTCTTTGGTTTGTACTTATCTAATGAAGCGAGGCAAGGCAAGTGTATTTGTATATCGCAATTCATACACAAGGCAACTCCAAGTGCTAAACAAAACAAGATAGAAAGAATCACAGAATCACACAGGGAATTAAAATAAAATAAATAATCACACTATGTTAAATAGAGTGAAGATAAAATCCTTCAGTTGTGCAGTTTTCCTGATGAAGGTCTCAGGACATTTTCCAGTAAAAATATATTTTTGCAAGGACAGCAGTGTGTGGGAACTCTTATTTTTATTCATGGGCACCGGGACTCCCTGCCCCTTTCCTACACACCTGCTCCAGAAATTGATGTGCGAAGATCTACAGCTTAATACTGCCGCATGAATCTGAAACGCTGCCTCCCCATGTTTAGTCCTGACTCTGGGACCAGCACGAGGCCAGTCCCTGTGCTCCTCAGAGTTGGTTCATATGGCCCTAACATGTCACAGATGTACTTTGGTGCGAGGCCATGAAGAGACTTGTAACAAACATAGCTGCTGTAAAGTCCAATTTCTGAGCCACAGAAAGCCAGTGCAGAGACCTGAGAACTGGACTAATGTGATGGTACTTCCTGGATCTAGTCAGGACTCGAGCTGCAGGGTTTTGAAAATAACAGCTGAACATAAGATCCAGTTCATTAAACCATGATGATGGCTGTAAAAGATAAACATAATGTTGTTTGCAGGTGCTAGTTCCTGGAGGTCAGAGGTCACAGGAGCTGCAGGGGTTACTACCAGACACACGTTACAAAGTGTCAATAACTCCACTGTACAGAGACGAGAGAGAAGGCCTCACCGTGACCACCACCGGATCCACACGTGAGTCCCACTTGGAAGAGAATAAACACTTATAGAAACAAAATGGAATAGAATAGAAACGGAAGAACATTTTTGAAAATTCTATTTACTGCTCTTGTAGAAGAAATATGGTTAAGATTTGGTGCTTAGAGCTCGGGTTCTCTGTTTCCTTCTGTGTCCAGTGTCGCTGTCTCCTCCTCAGAACCTGCGCTCCTCAGAACACTGGTTCAACCGCTTCAGGATCTCCTGGGACCATCCTCCATCTGCAGCTATGGGCTACAGGGCAGTGTACCAGCCGCTATATGGTACACACTCACACAGACACACACACATACAATCACACACACACGCACACATACAATCACACACACACGCACACATACAAGCACACACACACGCACACATACAAGCACACACACACGCACACATACAATCACACACACACACACATACAATCACACACACACACGCACACATACAATCACACACACACACATACATACAAGCACACACACGCACACATACAATCACACACACACACACACACATACAATCACACACTCACACACACACACATACAAGCACACACACACACGCACACACACAAGCACACACACACGCACACATACAAGCACACACACACGCACACATACAATCACACACACATACAATCACACACACACACGCACACATACAATCACACACACGCACACATACAAGCACACACACGCGCACACATACAATCACACACACACACACACATACAATCACACACACACACACACACACATACAACACACACACGCACACACACAATCACACACACACGCACACATACAAGCACACACACACACGCACACATACAAGCACACACACACACACTACACACACATACACACACACAGCACACACACACGCACACACACAACACACACACACACGCACACATACAAGCACACACACACACTTCAGTCCTGGTTCAGTTTTGGTCCCGTCCTGGTTTAGTCCTGCTTCAGTCATGGTTCAGTCCTGGTCCAGTCCCAGTCCAGTCCTTCTTCAGTCCAACCTTCTGTCCCGCTTCAGTCCTGCTTCAGTCCCACTTTAGTCCTGCTTCAGTCCCAGTTTAGTCCCACTTCAGTCCTGGTTCAGTTCTGGTCCCGTCCTGGTTTAGTCCCACTTCAGTCCTGGTTCAGTTCTGGTCCCGTCCTGGTTTAATCCCACTTCAGTCCTGGTTCAGTTCTGGTCCCGTCCTGGTTTAGTCCTGCTTCAGTCTTAGTTCGCTCCTGGTTCAAAAGAAGATCAATTGATTCCATCGTGGATGGAACTAAAAATAACCCCAGGTCTGTCTTTTACAAGGAACATGTTCACAAAGAGAAAAGAACCATTTTACTTAATCTGTAATCTTATACTTACATTTAGTTTTTCCATTTAAAGGCTCTAAATGACGTTCAGAGTGATTTGTTCATGGGTGAGTAATCTCTAATCTCTCATCCTCAGTGTGTTTCAGATTGAGATTATTCAAAGATTATTTAAAGGTCTCACTGGTGGTGAAAGCGTCGGTCAGAGGCTCGGACACGCCCTCGTCGTACAGAGCAGAGACGGCCACAGAATACTCCATCAGAGACGTCAGGTTACGGAGCTCAAACGACGACACGGGACCCATCATCATCTGCAGAAAACACACAACACACACACAACACACACACAATTGTATATGCTGGAATACAAAATTGGGAGGATCTTAACTTTTTTTTTTAAAGGTGCAGTAAGCAATTTTGTTAGCTTAGCCGTAGCACCAACTCGAAACCACTCCCCCCTCCTCGCCTCTCCACCAAACCAAACATCCAGCATCTTTCATCAGCAGGGAAAGTGGGTGACAAACGTGAAATTGGCATTTTCTGTTCAGCCCTTTCAGGTTTTAGAAAATAATCCGACAACTCAGGTGCGCGCACTCGTGAGACACAGGAAGAGGGTGAAGGCGGTAAACGCATCCCATTGGTTCATTTTTATCAGTCCGCTCCAAAATATGTTTTATTAATTCTTGGAGAGGCATCTGGTCAATTCCTTTACTATTTGAATACACATGATTACTTGACTTCTTTCAGCGTTTAGGGATGTTTTCCCACAATATAAAAACAAAAAAAACGCTTCTGGAAAAAAATCACTGACTGCATCTTTAATATAATTTGTGTTTTTTTGTTGTTGTTTTTTTTACATTTTTCAAATGTTTTATTTGACTTATTTTTTTACTTTATTATTATTATCTTCCTTATTTTCTCTGTCACTCTCCTGTTTTGCAACATTTTCATGAATTTTGAATAATAATAAATGACTCTTCTGGCCCCAGGAAAGCCATGTTCCAGCTTCTTCCTTCTGGCAGAAGATATTGTACGTTGAGGTGCAGGACAACTCGTTTTGTAACAACTTCTTTCCACAAGTTGTTTTCAGTTTGAACAAGGCACTTTAAATAATCTTGAGTTTGTATTGAAACTGTTTTAGTTTACAATTTTTATGCACTTGTCTTGTGCACACTGGGGAATTTTTTAGATGTATTTCAATGAAGGAAAGATTTATTTTGTCATCAGATTTTGAATTTTAAATGTATCTTTAATTTTTCCATTTGAAAATTTGAACCCTGAAAAAGCATGTTTGGATATTTTTGTCTTTGCATTTCAGTCATTAAAAATTCAATTTACTAATTTCCATGTGATAAAAATTTCAAAATAACAAATTCACCTTCAAAATATTCAAAAAAAAAAAAAAATGTCAAAGAAAAAAATAAAAAACGAATTAATTGTTATATACTTTTTATATTTCCGTAGTTTTACTGCAAATGGCAAATAAATGAATCTGAATCGGACCTTGAGGGTCTGGTAAAACTCCGGCCAATATAGTTGATGACCCCTTCTGTAATTTATTTCACTTTTTAAATGCCTTTTTGATATTTCACTGCGAGTTTACAAGAAACAAATAACTGTGTACATGTATTTGTGTAAAATGTCCCGTGGAGGTTGACTGCAGTGTTTCTTTTCTGTTTGAGTTCTGTGAGGATATGTCATTCATTTTATTGTTTTACTGTTAGAAAAACATTAAAGGGTAACGCTTTAGTTTAGCCCTCAATAAGTAACAGCTAATTAAAGGTGAAAAAAATGAAAAAATGAAATGAAAAAAACGTGTTAACTAATAATAAATGTGAGCTTACCTCCACCATGTTTTTGAAGTGTTGACATAGACTTAGAATTCTAATTATAAATGTCAATGCAACATCTTTAAATACAGTGGTTGATAAGGGACAAAAAGGATGCTTCCACCGTGCCTTTACAAGTTTGAAGTAGGAACCATGAAGGACCACAGTTAAATAAAAGAACCATGAAGGACCACAGTTATATAAAAGAACCATGGAGGACCACAGTTATACAAAAGAACCATGGAGGACCACAGTTATATAAAAGAACCATGGAGGACCACAGTTATGTAAAAGAACCATGTAGGACCAGAACGACCCAAGCAAGAAACATGCAAAAATCTAGACACCCGCGTCACAACAGCGTGTCATCGTGTGAACATCACAAACACAGAAGCATCGAACGGCAGAGTTTTTGTTGTTTGTCTGTTAACTTCCATTCAACCCCTTTTTACGAGTTGGAAACTGCTTTACAGCTCGTTTCTGGGTTTATTTGTCTGTAAAGCAGTATTTTGGGAAAGTGGTGGTTTGGCTCTGACAGGGGAGTCCGTATTCTTCAGTCCTGCTTCAGTCCTGCTTTAGTCCTGCTTCAGTCCTGCTTTAGTCCTGCTTCAGTCCTGCTTTAGTCCTGCTTCAGTCCTGCCCTAGTCCTGGTTCAGTGCAACTTTAGTCCTGCTTCAGCCCTGCTTTAGTCCTGCTTTACTCCTGCTTTAGTCCTGCTTTAGTCCTGCTTTACTCCTGCTTTAGTCCTGCTTCAGTCCTGCTTTAGTCCTGCTTCAGTCCTGCTTCAGTCCTGCTTTAGACCTACTTCAGTCCTGCTTTAGTCCTGCTTCAGTCCTGCTTTAGACCTGCTTCAGTCCTGCTTTAGACCTGCTTCAGTCCTGCTTTAGACCTGCTTTAGTCCTGCTTTAGTCCTGCTTTAGTCCTGCTTCAGTCCTGCTTTAGTCCTGCTTCAGTCCTGCTTTAGCCCTGCTTCAGTCCTGCTTTAGCCCTGCTTCAGTCCTGCTTTAGTCCTGCTTTAGTCCTGCTTCAGCCCTGCTTCAGTCCTGCTTTAGTCCTGCTTTAGTCCTGCTTCAGCCCTGCTTCAGCCCTGCTTCAGTCCTGCTTTAGTCCTGCTTCAGCCCTGCTTTAGTCCTGCCTTAGTCCTGGTTCAGTGCAACTATAGTCCTGCTTTAGTCCTGGTTCAGTCCTGCTTTAGTCCTGCTTCAGTCCTGCTACAGGCCTGCTTTAGTCCTGCTTCAGTCCTGTTTTAGTCCTGGTTCAGTCCTGCTTCAGTCCTGGTTCAGTCCTGCTTTTGGTGGTGGTTTGACAGGTACCTCCTCAGTGACAGCGGCGTCCGTCTTCTCCCACGTCACGCGGTACCCTTTGGCTCCGCCCACCGGGTCCCAGCTGAGCCGAGCAGAGCTGTGGGAGATGTCTGAGAACTGCAGGTTACTGGGAGGAAGCAGGGGCACTGGGGACCGAGAAAACATGTCAAAAACACGACAAAGCCATGTGAAAAACACGGCAAGAAGAACACGGAAACAACACATCAAAACATGTGATCGGAATGTTATAACTTCACGTATGTGGGGCAATCTAGAGTGTAGAATTGTATTTTAGTATTTCAGCAGGTGCCAAAACAATTCTATGGAAGAGAAAATGTCCAAATGTTTTTTCAGTTCATTATTTGATAGAGATGAGATTTACAAATCTGCCATATCGATCTTATGTCTCTCCATTCTAGTTTTTGAAAATGGCCACTCTTTTGTTTGATTTTTTTTTATTTTTATTTTTTTATTTGTATTGTTTTATTTATTTTTATTTGTATTGTTTTATATATTTTTGCTTTATAAATTTAGTTTTTCTTGCTGCAGTACAGTGTTCATGGTTTTGCACTGGTCCAGACCGGAGCGGAAAGGATTTATGGTCCGAACCAAGTGGATCAGGTGAAAATCCACTGGAGGAATGCTGACTTTTTGAAAGATGCTAATGAACCATTCAGCATTTTACTTTGGACTAGAGCAGAGAAAATGGTTCGAACCAAGCGGCTACTCCACCTTGTAACCCGTCCTGCTCCACCCAGAGGCTACTCCACCTCTGCTGCTGTGACCTGCCCTGCTCCACCCAGAGGCTACTCCACCTCTGCTGCTGTGACCTGCCCTGCTCCACCCAGAGGCTACTCCACCTCTGCTGCTGTGACCTGTCCTGCTCCACCCAGAGGCTACTCCACCTCTGCTGCTGTGACCTGCCCTGCTCCACCCAGAGGCTACTCCACCTCTGCTGCTGTGACCTGCCCTGCCTCCACCCAGAGGCTACTCCACCTCTGCTGCTGTGACCCGTCCTGCTCCACCCAGAGGCTACTCCACCTCTGCTGCTGTGACCTGTCCTGCTCCACCCAGAGGCTACTCCACCTCTGCTGCTGTGACCTGTTCTGCTCCACCCAGAGGCTACTCCACCTCTGCTGCTGTGACCCGTCCTGCTCCACCCAGAGGCTACTCCACCTCTGCTGCTGTGACCTGTCCTGCTCCACCCAGAGGCTACTCCACCTCTGCTGCTGTGACCTGTCCTGCTCCACCCAGAGGCTACTCCACCTCTGCTGCTGTGACCTGTCCTGCTCCACCCAGAGACTACTCCACCTCTGCTGCTGTGACCTGTCCTGCTCCACCCAGAGGCTACTCCACCTCTGCTGCTGTGACCCGTCCTGCTCCACCCAGAGGCTACTCCACCTCTGCTGCTGTGACCTGTCCTGCTCCACCCAGAGGCTACTCCACCTCTGCTGCTGTGACCTGAAGACCTGTATTCTTTATTTTTGCTGCTACTGGACACCTGAATATCTCCAACGGGGATCAATAAAGTATCTATCTATCTATTTTGAGACACCTTAATGAGACCAAATGTTCCTGACGAAGACAATGTGGGACTTTGTGAGAGGTTTTGTTTCACGTGGCTTGTTCCAGGGATAACAGAGAAATTAGCCCCCATACTGAGACTAGAATTTGAGTTTTGACACCAAAGTTGCCAGGAGGGATGTTTCTGCCGACCTCCATCACAAATCTGAAACTATAGGCTCTTAAAAACAGACCAAAGTAAACTATCTATAATGCACTGAGCCTCCATCTGTCTGTCTTTTTTTGGTTCAAATGATCTACGTGTGATTGAAGCCCAGGAGAAACTTTGTCGCAGCTTGCAATGGAAGGATTCAGACAGAAGGTGTGGGGGGATGTGTTTGTGCAGTTTCATTAAATCAAACAAAAACAAAAATACAGCTCAACTCTCTCTCCCTATTTCTCATTTAATATGTGTAGAATATCCAATTGTTTTAGATTGATGCTTTCCATTGACAATTCTCAACCTGTTATTTATGATTCCAATGTACTGGTCACACAAATTCCACATCTTGAATATTCCTTTGGTTTCAAGTCACTTTAAACCTGGATAGAGATGCAGTGAAGTGGTTAAATTGTAAGAATATGTATAGAAAAAGAGGGTTGGACTTACGAGTGGTTCCCTGGCTGGTGATTGGCTCGCTGGCCTCCTCTCCGAACATGGCGTAGACAGTGACGGTGTACTCAGTGTGCGGCGACAGTCCGTCCAGCTGCAGCTCCGTCACGGCGTCCGACACTTTCACCTGTTCTCACACAGAAACACACATCGTTGTTATGTTTGTCCTCAGCGAGTTAAAGCTGGGGTACCAAACTTTTATGGCTCATATAAATCATCCATGTTTGTTTGTTTTGGAAGAGAAGGCGTCAAGAAAGATCAAAAAGTTTTTTCTTTTGCAGGAATTCATGAAAAAGATATGTTTTCTTAGTTTGATTTTAACATGGAACAAGCTTCTATATTTGGTCCATACATCTATTATTATATATGGCTAGCTTAGCCGCTGGGGGGTCGGGCTAACTTTATTTTCTAAGGTTAGTATATTTTGTCCAGCAGAGTCTTGTAAAAGTAAAATCAATAAATCAGACCACAACATACTGTCTTCCTCTTAGCACAAACCCCTGTGAGTCACTGTTTGACTCTTTAGGCTGAGAACAGATCTGATGATGTGACAGAGGCCAAATAATGCAATACAATTACAATGTATTCTTGTATAGCCCTAGGTCACAACAGAAGTCATCTCAGCGACTTAACAAAACCATTGAAATCACCAACACAGGTCAGAGAATCAACAGCCAAGACACATGAAGAATATAAAGCACACACAGAAGAAAATGTCCATACATGTTGTAGAATGCTAAAGTGTCCTGATCATCACCAATCCTTTCTGTTGGACACTAACTGTCCAACAAGATCCTCCTGCATCGACAAGGAAAAAGTCTTAAAAAAAAACATATACATGATGTGAAAGAAGACAGGACCTTATTTTATTATTTTCATGTTTCTATTAGGGCTGGGTGATAAAACAATAACGGTATATATCGCGATAGACACGTGTTCAATATCAATAGAAAACGGGGTCGATAGAATGTTCAATAGTTCAACTTCACTCTGTTAGAAAAAACAGGAAGAAAACACAGGAAGTAAAGCCGAGTCAGAAGCGCGCGGCATTCTGGGGGATGTAGGCAGAGGCTTCTCGACCTATTACAGCCGGGCAGGAACCGCAAAACATTCTGGGAAATGCAAAAACAACAACCGCACCGTGCGTAGCGTCCATGGATCTATAGATCGTTTGTCAATGCCGTGTCAATAGTTCTGCACGTCTGTGTTAGGAACAGCATGTGCGGTGCGGAAGAGGCAGTGGGTACAGAGATTAACTTTTTCTGGAGCCGTCACGGGGACACAAGACACTTCAAAACAGCCAAAACAGGAGCTAAACCAGGACTAAACCAGGACTAAACCAGGACTAAACCAGGACTAACAATGGGGGACACTGTTGTGAACATATTCCTCGAGCCTCATTCCCCCGTGACTGTAAACAAGGCTGCTAACGTGTGTTAGCCAACACGACAAATGTATTTATTTAGGTTTTTAAAACAAAACAAAAAAACAATCAATATATATCGTTATCCATCGATATGAATTACTTTTATTGTGAAATAGTTTTTAGCCATATCGCCCAGCCCTAGTTTCTATAATTTTATTACTTATTATTTATCTATTTATTTATTTGATAGGAAAAAGTGAACATAATAAACATGTGAAACACAACAACATTTATGGCCAAAGCTGATTTGCAAAGTCCGTCTCTAGGAGGGCTTTAACACTTACATCATAGTATTCACATTACACAAAAGAAGGTGTTCTCCAACTCATTGATGATCACACAACTGGATTTAAAACATCACTTCATGTTTAAAACCAGCCCAGTCAGAGTTCAATTTTAGATCAGGGCTTAAAGAGTTCCAGAGCTTTGCCCCCTGGACCGAGAAGACCGAATGTGGTTCTCCTGAAGGTACTTTTACATTCCCATTAGAGGAGACTCGTGTGATGGACCTCAGAGGAACTATGAGAGCACTCGGGACAATAATACATTATATTTAAATGATGCCTTTCTATCAATCAATCAACCTTTCTTTTGTAGACTGCTTTTCCTTCACAATGTAACACACAGGGCTCCACCGTTCCTATCATATGAGGCATAAATCTCAATCATCTAAATGTGTACAAAAATAAAAACAAAAACAGTTTGAAGCTAAATCAGGAAAAGCATTTGGTTAAAAATAAACAGGTTTTGTGGTTTTGAAAGTACATTTTAATACACATTCTTGACTATCTATGCATGGGGAGTTCTGATTCTAACAAAATGGTTTTAAAAGCTGGAAAAGAAAGCACTCCTAGTCCTGCGTTTGGAAGAAGTGACCACAGAAACTTGCCAAGCTCTCAACAGAGAAAAGAACCACAGATTAATGACACTATATAACAACTGGAAAGACTTTTTATTGTTGTATGTTTGTCTTTTGATTATCCAGGATATTCAACATTCAATGGCGTTTATAGATTTTAATAACATTTATGGACAAGGGCTTTATGTGTTTTTTATCTTCGCATCTGTGTTTTTAACTGTTTGATTTTCTGATCGGGCAAATCGACAGTTTTGTGATAATTACTGTCTGTGCACTGCAAAAAATGATCAAATATGAGGTACTAAATGCTTGAATCGAGTGGTTTTTATCTTAATTTGAGAACATTCTGACTTAGCCTGGCCTTAGCCATCCGTACACTCCGCTTAATTATCATTTCTCTGCATGTACAGTAACGTCTGGGTCTGGTCCCTGTGTTTGTGATTTCAATCGGCTGAATTCCATCCGACCAACCAGAGAGCGCAGAAGGCGGGTGTTGTAGTTAGCTGTGGGTGACGTCAAGAGTTTGCGTTGAACGGGCAGGTTGTAGTTTGGCGATGGCGAAATATGCGATAGTAAAGAAATCCGATCTGGTTCTATCAAGAAATTGAAGCCGGAGCAAGAGGAATGTTTAGCAAATGTAATCGCTGGAAAAGATTGTGGCGCTACTCCCCACGGGCTCCGATAGCGGCAAAGGAGATGGCTAGGCTAAATGCTAAATGCTAACAACAGACTCGGGCGCACTACATACGTCACGGTAAACTCAGATCCAATCGTTTCAATCTGCAAAAGGAGTTAACCCCTCCCACCTGTTCACGGAGCTCAATGGAGCAAATCTTAGTATGAAGTGAAATTGAAGTGAAATTTGTACTATGATGTGGTACGACCAGGCTAATTTTGACTGTGTTGAGACAAGATTTTCCGATGGGACAAAGCCATTTTGACTTATTTCAAGAAATTTTCCTTTATTTTCTCATTCCAAGGGAGACATTTTTTGTGTCTTTTAAACAAGATCATGTTGTCTGCAGTGAATCAGATGCAGTGTGGACATGAATGAAGACTCCACAGACATATTTACAGATTGTTGATTAAAGCCAGACCCACACCCTTCACCTCTCTGTCGTTGGCGTCGGCGTCCTCGCTGATGGGAGCGTACAGAAGCATGTATCCAGAGACGCCGTCCACTCCGCTCCATCTCGCTTTCATCGAACTGTGAGAAACATCAAAGAGCTGGAGGCTGCTCACCGCAGGAAGAGCCGCTGAGGAGACACAACGTCATCAGGGCTGAGAACAATGTGACAGATCGATAGTATTGCGACGTCTGGGCCACTATTCAATATTATTGCGATTCGTAACAAATTGCGATACAGACAGTATTGAGATTTGATTCTGTGATATATTCATGTCCCTCATAGTTTGGCCAGGGGTGCGACTTATACTCTGGAGCGACTCATGTGTGAAATGATTAGATTCTGTAGGATGTGCTATATGCTAAGTTATATGCTAAAGTTATTTGAACGACTCTTACCGTAACATGTAACGTTAGCAAACCAGGCCCGTCCTCAGTTTGTTTATGCCTCATATACAACATACACTTATTCAGCCTGTTGGCCTCTATTCTATTTTCATTTTAAATTGGCTTTCAAGATGAAATGTCTATTCTTGGTGTTGGATAAATTTCCCCCAATTTTTTTTCCTTCTTTATTATGATTTTTTGGCGGGTGCGAATTCTACTCCGAAGAACACAGTATTCAAAGGCAAACAAGGAAAACAAGACCCGACTCAAATGTCACATTTATTATGGTCTGCACACGAACTGAACGTCACGCTGTTGACTTGGTTAATTGTTTTCTGGAACAAGGTCTGTGATAATGGACTCAGTATTAAAGCAGATTATTCCAATGCAGGTTAGAGACAGACTCAATCTGAACTAAAAATGATTTAGACTTGCGGTATATTGCGTGGTGTATGTGTATGTAAATGTGTGTATGTATTAATGTGTATGTATATGTATATGTGTACGTGTATGTGTGTGTGTGTGCATGTATATGTGTGTGTGCATGTGTGTATGTATTAATGTGTATGTATATGTATATGTGTACGTGTATGTGTGTGTGTGTGCATGTATATGTGTGTGTGCATGTGTGTATGTATTAATGTGTATGTATATGTATATGTGTACTGTATGTGTGTGTGTGCATGTGTGTATGTATACAGTATATGTGAGAGTATGAGTGGAGCGCAGACTCACAGGTGGTCTCGGTGCCTCTCAGGGCTTCACTGGTCTCGCTCTCGTAGACTGCAAACACCGCCAGCTGGTACTCTGTGGACGAGCTGAGGTTCTCGAGGAGCACAGAGGCCTCAGAGCCGTCCACCACCGCCTCAGAACACACACCACAACACAACTGTCAACAACACAACTCTCACCTTTACTGCAAACATACAACATCTACTCTGGCTTCATGTGAATGTATTTATTTGATCAGGGACAACGTACAATCAACATTAGTCATATATAACTAATACTAACATGTACAGATGTATACATACAACGTTATATTTCTTGCACTGGAATATACAGATTTTTCCTACTTATTATACTAAAGTTAGAGATGTTATACTTGCTTCTTTATTATGCTAAAGTTCCTGGACAGGTTGATTATATAATGACAGTAAAACAACTGGTAAAAAGTCAATTCATAATGAAATACTCAGTTTTCAGTCTTAAATACAGTCATACACAAATACACAAATACTGTCATACACACATGCACACGCACACACTGACACAGACACAAAAACGAACAAGCACACGCACACAAACACGCACAGAAATGCATACATTTTCTTATGTGACCAAGGATATTTAACTGAGATTTGAAGACTACACTGGAAATATACGGTATAGCAGCAGCATTAGAACTCAGACTAAAGTGCTGGTCCCAGTGGCAAATCTCCAAAGACCATTCAACAACAAACAAATCTAGATGTTCAAAGTTAGAGAACATTTTTGAACCTCTTGTCCACCTCTCTTGTCTATCTCATTTAAATGTCACTCCCACCATTATGTGCTACCACCAGAGGAAGGAGTTCAATTGGTTGTTTGTTTTTCCCCCCAAAATTGAACAAAATTGAACCCCAAAATTATCAACACGGACATTTGATTGTAAAGAACGTCATTCCACTTGAGAAATTACCAAAAAATAAAAAAAAGTGTATGGGCAAAACTGCTCTGAACGTGATGTCATACTGATTTAGACAGAAGGGGCAGAGCTACATGTTAATCACAGAAGCTGATGTCGTTTCTGTAGCCAGTGTAACGACAGCTTTGATCCAGTGTGAGCCAGAACTAACAGAGGAGCAGGTCACTCCACATCTGCCTCTCGGACCCCGCTGAGCAGAGGTGAAGATTTAAGCAGGTGCTGAAGCCTCAGACCCGGGTTTGGATCCGGCTCTGAGACTTAATGAGACTGTGGGGTCTGAGAGGAACATGGCCGGGTGTGAGGAAACACCTGCTCGTACTGATCCCACTGCAGTAATCCGCTGCTGACCGTGACTCTTCATCATCCAGACACTTTGATTTTAGACTGACATTACTGCAGCGTTTCAGATTTATGCAGCTAAAATCGGCAACAATCTTCCTGAAAATCTGAGACAGGCTTCCACTCTTTTTAAATCCAAGTTAAAAAAGCATACAACTGAAGGATTTTATTTTTGCTCTTTTTTTGAGGGAGTAATATGTAAACATCTGGCCAAAAGTGGTACTGCAACTTCTCCCACTCTCCCTGACTCAGGTTGCCAGATATGCAGACGAATCCAGCTGGGACCATAATAACTGAATATACAACAGTTTTTTCACCAACAAATCTATAACCAACAATTTTTTCACAAAGGCCTTAATAGAAATCCTTGTTTTATTCCTTGTTTTGTCGTTAATGGTTTGAGAATCATAACAAGCCCCTTTTTAGTTCTGAGGCCACATGTTACTTTGTCAGTGAGATTAGCTTGACCTTCAATGCTAAATCTGGCATCTTTACTTGGACACATGTTGATTAATGAGCACGGTCCAAACACTTTTCAGTCATAGATAGTGGTTGTGTAAAGCAATTTCTTGTCGAAAAAACATGATTTTTCTAGGATCAAATGATGACTCCTCTTCTGACCCTGATTAGAAGTCTCCATCCCTCAGTTCTCAGTAGTGTGTGTTGGGCTTTAACATCTGTGACAACTTGGAGCTGTATGTAGTAGTTGTTGTGGATGAAAATCTTTCTGCTCTCTGATCGCAAAGATTGTTCTTGGCCAAAAGCCTCCAGTTCTTGACAATTGCTTTTTCCCCCTTTTTATTTACTATCTTTCCTTTATACGGACATAAGGGAACTACTGTATGTACATATGGTGAGGTGACTTATGAAAATTAGCCTGATACTTCATGTGCAATAAAGACCTCCATAATCTCAATCCTAAACCTAGCCCTAAAACAAAGACATTCAGCCTGAGCGCTCAGCGAGAGAGTCAAGATGAAAAGGTCATGTATTGGTCCCACAGTGGGGAAATGTCAGTGTTGCATCAGCAGTTACAGAACAGTAGAATTGAAGAGCACACAGCACAAGAGAAATAAACAATAACTCTATACTAAAATCAAACTTAATCATCATAAAGAAGCAAGTATAAAATGCTGTATTTTCTAGTGCAAGAAAAACAGTACATAGTTGTGTGTACATCTGTGTGGTACCTGACATACAACGTTGTGTGTACACCTGTGTGGTACCTGACATGTATAGTTGTGGTACCTCATGCAGCCCTCCTTCCTGGGCGGAGTAGGCGACTCTGTACTGATGCACAACTCCAGGAGCAGGAGTCCAGGACACACGGAAACTCCGGGATGAGACCTCAGAGGTCCTCAGGTCCAGGGGAGGCCCCTGCTCCGCGACAAACTCTGCACCAGAGAAAACCATTGGTTTCTTTGGATTCTGAAAGACTCTTCACATGTCATTATTCTCTCACTCCAGACACAATACTACTACTGTGTATGAGGCACTCTGACAGGTGCTAGAAAACCAGTCTGTGCCATCGGCCCCTCCACCACCAACCATTCACACACACACCAGACTCATTCTAATGTGGGTGAAGTGTCTTGCCTAAGGACACAATAACAGTTTGGCACTTTACTGCCGCAGCCGCCCCACTGTGGCACCTGGTGTTGCCAGAGGTCCCCCATCACAGTTCTAACCAGGCCCTGCCCTGCTCAGCCTCAGAGGTCTGACAGGATCTGGCCTTCACCTCTTGTCATGGTGTGGATTTTATTTCTGTATTTGGTTTTATTTTGATTTTATTAGTTCTCTGTGGTTTCATTTCAGTTTGACTTCCTGTCCTGTTCCCCTGTTGATGGTCTGCCCCGCCCTTGTGTGTTTCACCTGTGTCTGTGTCGATATGTACCTGTGCTACATTACCCTTGTTGCTGGATTTTTAGTTATTATTATTTTATATTATTATTATTATAACAATATGAATAATATTATTATTACTACATTCTCAGGTTCTTACTGAGCTTGATGTCCTTGTCCTGCTGCACCACCTGCTCACACACGGTCCTGGTCAGTCCGGCCACGATAGAACTCATGACGTTGAAGTCGGCCACGTTGTAGACGTGAGTGTCGGGCTCCGAGGCGATGGACCGCAGCTCGTTCTCATCCGCGTTCTTCACTCCTGCAAAACAAAACCTTCACCGTTTTACTTCAACACGTAGAACAAAAGCTGAAACCATGAACAAAGACCTCTGTACTCTCCCCTGGGGGAGTGCCTCACTATTTGAGAAGGACTGGTCTATGTGAAGTACACAAAGGTGCCGACTAACTCACTAGTGATAGTTTACTGATTTCTGACTGTTGTTGCACATTCGTACCTGAGTAATAGTTATGTACACCGCTGCTTATAGATGACTAATTCAAGGAATTTTCATTTCATTTTTGGCACTTTTTTTCAACAATAACCTGTATTGAACATTGGTCTCTGCCTCTCATGGACCAATGGTTCTGTGTGTTTTATAATCATTGCATTTCTTGTGTTTGAACTGTTTGATTCTCTGATTTCTGTTGGAGAATCGGCAGCTTTGTCCTCCGAGATAACTGTTCAATTCAATTCAATTCTCTTGATTTAAAAAAACGTTAAGATCATGCAAGTCATACACATTCTAATTTCTAAAGTTTGTAGGTGCTTTTCAAAAGAGAACTCCCAGCTTCATTAGCTTGTAGGAGGGGCCCCAAAACTACTGTGGTGATTTAGGGGTCTACAAAAATAAATTGATTTGAACTTTTTCCAAAGAAAAAGTAAGTGAGTTCCTATAAATCCCAAAATAAAAGTTTTTTTATGGTTTGAAAAGCTCAAAGCTCATTTGTAGAAGAAGAGGTTTCATACTAAGGAGTTGTTTTGTGTGAATTTGGAGGCAGCCAGTGCCAGTTCTTACCGATAGCAAACAGCTCGACTCCGGCCTCCCGCAGACTCTCCGCCGGAGGAACCACATCGTCCTGAGACTTCCCGTCCGTGATGAGGATTCCAATTTTGGGAATGCCTGGCCGAGAGCCCGCCTCCGGTTTGAAGCAGTTCTCCAGGATGTAGGTCAGAGCCAGACCTGGTGGAGACAGAGGAGACAGAGGAGGTAGAGGAAGCAGAGGAGAGAGAGGAGACAGAGGAGACAGAGGAGGTAGAGGAGAGAGAGGAGACAGACGAGGCAGAGGAAGGGGAGGAGACAGAGGAGGCAGAGGAGGCAGAGGAGGCAGAGGAGGGGGGGGAGGGGGAGGAGGGGGAGGAGACAGAGGAGGCAGAGGAGACAGAGGAGACAGAGGAGGCAGAGGAGGGGGAGGAGACAGAGGAGACAGAGGAGGCAGAGGAGGCAGAGGAGGCAGAGGAGGCAGAGGAGGCAGAGGAGAGAGAGGAGACAGAGGAGGCAGAGGAGAGAGAGGAGGCAGAGGAGGGGGAGGAGAGAGAGGAGAGAGAGGAGACAGACGAGGCAGAGGAGGCAGAGGAGGCAGAGGAGGCAGAGGAGGCAGAGGAGAGAGAGGAGACAGAGGAGGCAGAGAGGAGAGAGAGGAGGCAGAGGAGGGGGAGGAGAGAGAGGAGAGAGAGGAGACAGACGAGGCAGAGGAGGGGGAGGAGACAGACGAGGCAGAGGAGGGGGAGGAGACAGAGGAGGCAGAGGAGGCAGAGGAGGGGGGGGGGAGGGGGAGGAGACAGAGGAGACAGAGGAGGCAGAGGAGAGAGAGGAGGCAGAGGAGGGGGAGGAGACAGAGGAGACAGAGGAAGCAGAGGAGGCAGAGGAGGCAGAGGAGGGGGAGGAGACAGAGGAGACAGAGGAGGCAGAGGAGAGAGAGGAGACAGAGGAGGCAGAGGAGAGAGAGGAGGCAGAGGAGGGGGAGGAGACAGAGGAGAGAGAGGAGACAGAGGAGGGGGAGGAGACAGAGGAGGCAGAGGAAGCAGAGGAGGCAGAGGAGGCAGAGGAGGCAGAGGAGACAGAGGAGGGGGAGGAGACAGAGGAGGCAGAGGAGGGGGAGGAGACAGAGGAGGGGGAGGAGACAGAGGAGGCAGAGGAGAGGAGAGGAGAGGAGGCAGAGGAGGCAGAGGAGGGGGAGGAGACAGAGGAGGCAGAGGAGACAGAGGAGGCAGAGGAGGGGGAGGAGACAGAGGAGGCAGAGGAGACAGAGGAGACAGAGGAGACAGAGGAGGCAGAAGAGACAGAGGAGGGGGAGGAGACAGAGGAGGCAGAGGAGACAGAGGAGACAGAGGAGGCAGAAGAGACAGAGGGAGATAATGGCAGAGTCTAATAATATCCGGAGGTGAAACTAAAGTATAGTTAAAGTTACCGGTAAGAGTGTTCCCGCCTTTGTAGGGGAGGTTCTTCACGGCATCGATGACGGCCTCTTTGTTGGTGAAAGTGTTCAGGTGCCATTCGATCCTCGGGTCCCCGCTGTACTGAGCCAGACCTACCACACCAGCAGAAAACAACAACACCTAAAATAATGTGTTTCCATGTGAATAAGAAAGACTAGGTTACTCGCTTTGAGATGTTTCTGAGCATTTCTGAGAATATTATCTGCTATTTTAGCATTAGGATATGTAGGTAAGAAACAGGTAAAACTTAGAAACACAACTTAAATAAAAAAAAAAACAGCTAGTAAGTCAAGCTGCAGACGGAGCACATAGAGAAGTCTGGTAACTTTAGCACTGTCCTCTCCTCTTCCTACTTTATCTGTCATCATTATGACTTAGAAGTAGTCTGTTCATTGCTATTCACCCAAAGTCCCATTGTCTGTTTCATGGGACCCCTGAACCAGGGTGCACCTCCACCCTGACCGCCTGGGAGCCGCCTCAGTCCTGCGTTACATGGTCCTTGTTCTACAGTCTGAGTCCTGGATCTACAGCCTCAGTCCTGGTTCTACAGTCTGAGTCCTGGATCTACAGCCTCAGTCCTGGTTCTACAGTCTGAGTCCTGGATCTACAGTCTGAGTCCTGGATCTACAGTCTGAGTCCTGGATCTACAGCCTCAGTCCTGGTTCTACAGTCTGAGTCCTGGATCTACAGCCTCAGTCCTGGTTCTACAGCCCGTCCGTCCGTGGGAATGGATCCCTCCTTCAATGTGGGCCTCCTCAAGGTTTCTCTCTTTTATTCCAGTTTATTGTTCCAGTTTATAGCAGCATGAATCTGAAATGCTGCCACCCCATGTTTAGTCCTGTATATGTTGTGTACTGTATATGTTGTGTACTGTATATGTTGTATATGTTGTGTATGTGTGTATATGTTGTACATGTTGTGTATGTGTGTTGTATATGGTCCTGTTTGTGAATGTTATCATTTCTGCACAAAGGAATGAATACAAATAATGATATAGAAATGATCAACCACTCTCACAATCGATACATATTAGCACTAATTAGCAGCTGATAAGTGTATATTTGTGTTAATTTGCTCTTAATTGGTATTTATTGTTAGGGCGACAGTGGCTCAGTTGGTAGAGCATTGGCCTTAGAGCCTGAAGATCGTGGGTTCGAGCCCACCATAAGACCTTCTCCGCCGACTCCCACTGATGACTGCTGTCGTTGTGTCCTTGGGCAAGACTCTTAACCCCACTTTGCCTGAAGCCCCCTCTGAATATTCAAGGCTCCTGTGGACTCACCCCCTGCAGGAGGATCAGTGAGGGGCTGGTGCTATGTGTACTGGGTGCAGCTCTGACTGCCACCCCCTCGACCCAGAAGTGGATTAAGAGGAAGAAAATGGATGGATGAATGGATGGATGGTATTTATTAAGCACTTATTAGTCCTTATTATACATGGCCTTATTCAACATCTAATTAGCTACTAACTGACACTTTCCCATGAGGGTTAGGGTCAGGGTTCAGTAATTAACACTTACTTAGTCAGAGCTAATATACAGTGTTAGCGCCTATGGTTGTCAGACTAATGAGATATTCAAATACGTCCATTCTACCCACAAAACTTTTTATCCTGACCAGACATTCTCTCAGACAGTCTCCAGAGTATAATTCATTTCAAAGTTGAACCAGAACTTTACCGATCCTGGTCTTGTCGAAGGCCACGTCGAAAGCGTTGACCAGGTTTTCCAAGAACGTTCGGACCAGACGGAAGTTGAGGCGACCGATGCTCCAGGATCCGTCCACCAGGATCACGATGTCTGCCACGGCCTCCGTCCTGCACTCGAACTGGTCCACTGCAAAGAGAAACAGAGGATTTAACAAGGAATCTGTGTGTGTGTGTGTGTGTGTGTGTGTGTGTGTGGGGGGGGTTTTAACAAGGGAATAAGAGGTGTGTGTGTCTGTGTGTGGTTTTAACAAGTAAGTGTGTGTGTGCATGTGCGTATGCTTGTCATGTGTCTGTGTGTGATTTTAGCAGGTGAAAAATAGGGGTGTGTGCGTGTCGTGTGTCTGTGTGGTTTTAACAGGGGAATAATAAGTGTGAGAGTGCGTGTCGTGTGTGTGTCGTGTGTTTGTGGGTGGTTTTAACAGGGGAATAAGAGGTGTGTGTGTGTTTGTATGTGTGCGTATTGTGTGTTTGTGTGTGGTTTTAACAGGAGAATAAGAGGTGTATATGTGTGTTTGATTTTAAAAGGGGAATAAGAGGTGTGCTTGGTATGGTTGGTGTTAAGAGAAAGAGTTATATGAATAAAGACTTACTTATTTACTTACTATTGACCGGTATAGAAGACTAAGAAGATAGGATGAAGTTTCCTAAACCAATAGTATTAAATCTGTATTAAATCTTGGCTCGGATTCCTCTGTTCTCTCCGCGTCATGTTCGTTTTGCCTGAACACAGATCAAACACACAGCGATGAAGCCGTTATACAGATTTCTTAGATCAATAACAGAATAAAATGCATTTGCAGAATCCACACGAGGCTCGGTGATGACTGAGCTAAACGTACTGATGTGGTTTTCTTTATTTGTAAGTCGTTTGATTCAATTTAAAAGCACATCGTGGCTCTCTCTCTATGAATAATTCACTATTTCAATAGGATTTCCCCCCGTATGGTCCGGGACAATGCAAACACGAGGCTTTTTACATCAGCAGATTCTGAGCAGAGCAAAGAAGAGTGAGTCCTCCGAGATCCTCCTCCTTATTTCAATTTCTCACCATCGATTTTGGAGTTTACCGCAGCGCTAAGCTAACGCCGCGTATGAATGTTTAATGATAAGGTTACAGTGGGAAACAAAACGCTCTTTCTCTGTCGCCTTGATGTGATAATCTGTGATATTTTGATATATTTGTACAGACAGACATTAAGGCTACAGCTAACGGGTATTGTGGTATTCGAGAATTCAATGACCTTTAATGAATCATGTAATCTAACTGCTTTTATTTATCCTTAGTTCAATTGCGTAAACTCTACATTAAATAAATATGTATATAGCTATAATAAATACACAGTTTGAGAAGGGGGTTGAGACTTTCACTTAAAGCCGTCAAAGATGATAATGCAGCTTCAAACGTATTTAAAATAACACATATCTTTGACCATAAGACCCTGTGGTGTCATTTAAGTATTTATCATCAGAAATATATTTAATACAGGCCCTCCTGAGGCTGAGTGGATTGCAGAAAGTCCTGGGTTCGAATCCCGGTCGGAACAGAGCCTTTCTAAGTGGAGATTGTATGTTCTCAGCGTGTCTGCGTAGGTTTCCTCTGGGTGCTCCGGTTTCCCCTACCACTAAAAAAGTACACAATCGGTCTGTATGTAATGAGAGAGTGAATGGATGGTGTTGATTGGAGGCTTTGATGCCCCAGTGTGTTCGGCGTGTGGAGAAAATGAAACAATATCTGAACTCTGAACATTGTAAAGTGCTTTGGGTGACCTTGGTCTGTAAAAATGTGCTATATAAATAAACGTTACTCACTTACTTTAGGTCACAGCTGCAGAGGTGGTGTTGCCTCTGGTGATGAGCTGCTTCCTCTGGTGGATGTTTGCACAGTTTGCTTGGTTTGGACCTTTTTCTTTGCTCTGGTGAAATTCGAAATGCTTTATTAGCATTTTTTCAACAAAATTATCATTCCTCCAGTGGATTTCCGCTTGATCTCTTCGGTTGGGACCATCCTCTCTGGTCTGGTCTGGATCAGTTTAAAACCATGAACACTGTACTGCAGTAACATTTACAGGTAGAAACAAGCGGAAAAAAACAGCAGTGGTAAAACACAAACACAAACCGTTTCCAGTGCATTCAAAAGTTAAAAAAATATACATTCTTTGAACAATGAAACACAGTAGAAGTCCCTCACATGTCTCCTCTGTCTTGGTGCAGTTCCGCTCGGAGTCTCTGGTCTGTCCACGTACCAGGTGCGACCCGACAGCATGTGTGCGCAGTGGCAGCCGCTGCTCCAGGCCTCGTCCTACAGAGTCTCCATCATCTCCACTCTCAGTGAGTACACCTCATCCTGTGTCTGTGGAAACCTTCATCCTTTTGTGTCTGTGGAAACCTCATCCTTCTGTGTCTGTGGAAACCTTCATCCTTCTGTGTCTGTGAAAACCTGCTTCTGTGTCTGTGGAAACCTTCATCCTTCTGTGTCTGTGAAAACCTGCTTCTGTGTCTGTGGAAACCTTCATCCTTCTGTGTCTGTGAAAACCTCATCCTTCTGTGTCTGTGAAAACCTGCTTCTGTGTCTGTGGAAACCTTCATCCTTCTGTGTCTGTGAAAACCTCATCCTTCTGTGTCTGTGAAAACCTGCTTCTGTGTCTGTGGAAACCTTCATCCTTCTGTGTCTGTGAAAACCTCATCCTTCTGTGTCTGTGAAAACCTGCTTCTGTGTCTGTGGAAACCTTCATCCTTCTGTGTCTGTGAAAACCTCATCCTTCTGTGTCTGTGAAAACCTGCTTCTGTGTCTGTGGAAACCTTCATCCTTCTGTGTCTGTGAAAACGTACATCCTTCTGTGTCTGTGAAAACCTCCTTCTGTGTCTGTGGAAACCTTCATCCTTCTGTGTCTGTGGAAACCTTCATCCTTCTGTGTCTGTGGAAACCTTCATCCTTCTGTCTCTGTGAAAACATCCTTCTGTGTCTGTGAAAACCTCCTTCTGTGTCTGTGGAAACCTTCATCCTTCTGTGTCTGTGGAAACCTTCATCCTTCTGTGTCTGTGAAAACCTTCATCCTTCTGTGTCTGTGAAAACCTCCTTCTGTGTCTGTGGAAACCTCCATCCTTCTGTGTCTGTGGAAACCTCCATCCTTCTGTGTCTGTGGAAACCTCCATCCTTCTGTGTCTGTGGAAACCTTCATCCTTCTGTCTCTGTGAAAACCTCCTTCTGTGTCTGTGGAAACCTCCATCCTTCTGTGTCTGTGGAAACCTCCATCCTTCTGTGTCTGTGGAAACCTCCATCCTTCTGTGTCTGTGGAAACCTCCATCCTTCTGTGTCTGTGGAAACCTTCATCCTTCTGTGTCTGTGAAAACCTCCATCCTTCTGTGTCTGTGGAAACCTCCATCCTTCTGTGTCTGTGGAAACCTCCATCCTTCTGTGTCTGTGGAAACCTTCATCCTTCTGTGTCTGTGAAAACCTCCTTCTGTGTCTGTGAAAACCTCCATCCTTCTGTGTCTGTGGAAACCTCCATCCTTCTGTGTCTGTGGAAACCTCCATCCTTCTGTGTCTGTGGAAACCTCCATCCTTCTGTGTCTGTGAAAACCTCCATCCTTCTGTGTCTGTGGAAACCTCCATCCTTCTGTGTCTGTGAAAACCTCCATCCTTCTGTGTCTGTGGAAACCTCCATCCTTCTGTGTCTGTGGAAACCTCCATCCTTCTGTGTCTGTGGAAACCTTCATCCTTCTGTGTCTGTGAAAACCTCCTTCTGTGTCTGTGAAAACCTCCATCCTTCTGTGTCTGTGGAAATCTCCATCCTTCTGTGTCTGTGGAAACCTCCATCCTTCTGTGTCTGTGGAAACCTCCATCCTTCTGTGTCTGTGGAAACCTCCATCCTTCTGTGTCTGTGGAAACCTCCATCCTTCTGTGTCTGTGGAAACCTCCATCCTTCTGTGTCTGTGGAAACCTCCATCCTTCTGTGTCTGTGGAAACCTCCATCCTTCTGTGTCTGTGGAAACCTCCATCCTTCTGTGTCTGTGGAAACCTCCATCCTTCTGTGTCTGTGGAAACCTCCATCCTTCTGTGTCTGTGTAAACCTCCATCCTTCTGTGTCTGTGGTAACCTCCATCCTTCCACAGACACAGTGAATAATTAGCTTGTGCAGAACGTGTCAGGTGGTGCGGAATGACCTTGGGCTGCTGCAAAAAATTGAGTTAAAAAATCATGGTTTCTGTTTATTGTTAGTATTTATTTATTTTAATTGTGTTTGTATGTTTTTATTTATTTTTTATCTTTTTTGAGTTCTCCACCCATCACAAGGGAAAAGGGGATGTGGGAATCAAAAAGGGGGACAAAAAGTGTGATGCAGGCAAACCAGTATGAAAATATAAATACAATGTAACACTTAACCCTCTATGCACATGGGTCATTTTGGGGAACCTTCCTCGCCTGGTTTTCTTTGTGTATAATTGTTCATAAAACAGTCATCTTTTGATGCAGAGTCAAGCAGTATACTTTGTTTTTTTCAGTACAACCTGGGGTTTTAGAATATTCATATTGTAAAGCTGTCATATGAATTATATAAAAATTATGGAATCATGAAGACAAAGAAAAAAATCAAACGGAAAATCAATTTAACAAAAATGTATTGAAAAAACACAATGAAATGCTATAAACAACTTTTTACACTGCATAGAAATGTTATTTATGGTCTTGGGGATAATGTGGAAAAAAATTGAATCTCTAACTATTATACTTTTTACAAAATCCCAATATAAAAGCAAAAAACTCTGTACTCCTGATGCCCTTCCTGAAGCAGTTTGTCTATAATGCTGGGGTTGCTTCTGTAGCACAGCTGTAAAAAACGTAAAACATAAGAAACTGAGCCAAAAAAAAAAAAAAAAAACATCAATTATTTATATAATACATATATTTATATACATCATATACATAATGTCATTTTACTGTATTTATTATCGTCTTTATCAATAATGCGCACTCTTCAGCCGGTTATTGCAATCGCAGCTCTAGTTTCAACTGTGGGAGAACAAGTACACGCAGAGGAGTGAGACATCTCACAAATCAATACTAGTTTCCGAAAGCCCTGAATACGTACTTCACAGAGGAAAAAAAAGTAAGTTGCTACGTTTTACCGTTTGCGAGTAAATTGATCATTTGTAAAACATGTGCGCATGCATCGGCGCCGATGCAGACGGGTTCATAGGGTTAATAATAACTGCAATAATTGAGTTCTGCAGCGTTTAATTTGCTGAGAGTGAAAGCTGATTCTCTCTGATCCTCTGCAGACGGACAGCGGCAGGAGGAGACTCTGGGGGGCGGAGCTTCTCGACAGTGTTTCTATGACCTCACTCCCAGCAGCCAATACCAGATCAGCGTCCTGACGTCCGTGCAGGAGCTGGAGGGGCCCGCGGTCTCCATCACAGATATGACACGTAAGTTACACCAGTTACACCTCGTACCATCGACTGTTTTGGAAAGTGTGTCTTGTCTTCTTAGTAGAATAAGGATTTTGGTTCTTCTACACCAGAAAACAATTTTTTTTAAATTTGTATATGTTATTTATTTAAAGGTACTGATAATTATAATAATACAAGCAAAACAAAGCTGTGACAGAGGCCGAAAATACATTCATGTGAAAACTATAGTGATAAACGCAAAGTGTTTTAGAGCCTAGAACAAGTAGGATTTTATTACATTAATCTTTGAAAGTTAGGTACCCCAGCTTTAATGTTCTCCTTCTTGAGCTCTCTGGTCTCTCTCTGGCCTCTCTCTCTGGTCTCTCTCTCTGGTCTCTCTCTCTGGTCTCTCTCTCTGGTCTCTCTCTGGTCTCTCTCTCTGATCTCTCACTCTGGTCTCTCTCTCTGATCTCTCACTCTGGTCTCTCACTCAGGTCTCTCTCTCTGGTCTCTCTCTGCTCTCTGGTCACTCTGGTCTTCCCTGGTCTCTCTCTCTCTCTCTGGCCTTTCTCTTGTCTCTCTCTGGTCTCTCTTTCTGGTCTCTCTCTGGTCTCTCACTCAGGTCTCTCTCTCTAGTCTCTCTCTGGTCACTCTGGTCTTCCCTGGTCTCTCTCTCTCTGGCCTCTCTCTGGTCTCTCTCTGGCCTCTCTCTGGTCTCTCTCTGGCCTCTCTCTGGTCTCTCTCTGGTCTCTCTCTGGCCTCTCTCTGGTCTCTTTCTGGTCTCTCTCTGGTCTCTCTCTGGTCTCTTTCTGGTCTCTCTCTGGTCTCTCTCTGGTCTCTCTCTGGTCTCTCTCTGGTCTCTCTCTGGTCTCTCTCTGGCCTCTCTCTGGTCTCTTTCTGGTCTCTCTCTGGTCTCTCTCTGGTCTCTTTCTGGTCTCTCTCTGGTCTCTCTCTGGTCTCTCTCTGGCCTCTCTCTGGCCTCTCTCTGGTCTCTCTCTGGCCTCTCTCTGGCCTCTCTCTGGTCTCTCTCTGGTCTCTCTCTGGCCTCTCTCAGGTCTCTCTTTGGCCTCTCTCTGGTCACTCTTTGGTCTCTCTCTGGCCTTTCTCTGGCCTCTCTCTGGTCTCTCTCTGGTCTCTCTCTGGTCTCTCTCTGGTCTCTCTCTGGCCTCTCTCTGGTCTCTCTCTGGTCTCTCTCTGGCCTCTCTCTGGTCTCTCTCTGGTCTCTCTCTGGTCTCTCTCTGGTCTCTCTCTGGCCTCTCTCTGGTCTCTCTCTGGTCTCTCTCTGGTCTCTCTCTGGTCTCTCTCTGGTCTCTGATTGATGATGTTGTCTCTTCCTTCAGTTCCTGCTCCGACTGAAGCTCCCACTGATCCTCCTGTGACGGAGCCGCCGCCCACTCTGCCCCCGGCCAAAGAAGGTGACATCACTCATCCTCAGCATATACAGTAGAATGATACTAAGTTACTGTCTATAAGTTGTACTTCTTTACTAATTTACTAAGATTAAGAGATCCTTTAGTGTTCCCACAGTGGGTAAATGTCAGTGTTGCATCAGCAGTTGTAGGAATGAGGAGAACACAGCACAAGAGAAATAACTCTATACTAAAATAAAAAATCTCTAAAATGATAAAGCAACAAGTACAAAATATACCCCGGCTTTAAATGCCAGCTCAGTGTCATGTCCTCTTTTGTCCTCTGGTGGCTGTGGTAGTGTCTGGACCTGAAGGACTCTCTGTCTCTGACCTTTTACTGCAAACACTTCTGCCTTTATGACAAGAGACCTTTAGACCGAACACCCTGACCGACCCAGACCGAACCAGGACTGAAAACCTACAGCCGGACACCACAGCTAACAAAGTGTGTTTTTGTCTGTTTGAGAGAGAAAACAGACGGAGCTGCCAGATCCCAAAACGACATGTCCACGAGCGATTTAACCATGTGTAAAATCTGACCTCCAACATCTGTAGAGCTGTAGAGAAATCTGAGAACCATAAGGATAATATTGTCGAGAGAGTATAGGCAGCTTATATCACTTTTATTGGAGTTTTTGCTACAAATTAAAGCTGGGTTACCTGCTTTTCAAACGACAACAATGGAACTGTTAAAATCTGACATGGTTTTTATTGGCTCTAAAACAGTTGCTTTTATAGTTTTCACAGGTGTTTTTGGCTTCTGTCACATCTTTAGATCAGCTTTTTCAGACGCAAAAGTGAAAAAGAGAGGACCACCCTCACTCAGCCAATCAGCTCTCAACCCAAAGGGTCAATTAGTGACTCACAGGGCTCTTTCTTTCACAAAAGATAAAATGTTTTACTTGTATAAGACTCTTTCTGTTGGACAAACTGCATGTGTTATTTATGACACAACAAATCAGGTACTCTAGCTTTAAATGTGAGATGAATGAGGACACATACGGTTATGTTGTTTGTCCCAATGGAAAGAATCTTGGAAAAATTAAATATTGGGAACAAATCAGAACAAATTCATCTAGTTAGGAAACGTGTTATCTTTCTTGTAAGAAAGAGCCCTGTGAGTCACTATTTGACCCTTTGGGCTGAGTGCTGATTGGCTGAGACCTCTTTTTTCACTTTTCTGTTTGAAAAAGCTGATCTTAAGACGGGACAAAGGTACATACATGTAGAAAACTAGGGATAGAGGCAATTGTTTTAGAGCCAGGAACTAATGACATGGATTTTATTACATAGTTCCATTTAGAGACATTTAAAAGTTAGATTAAAAAAAAGCTTAAATGGGATGGAAAGATGGAATGAGACCATTTGTTATGATCGGATTGACTGAATTACTGAATTACTTGAATACATGCAAGTCAAAACTAGTGCCAGATCGAGACAGGATCAGAGCCAGGATCTGGTTACATGTATTTCATTTCATTGTTCCTTTGTTTGTGGTTTTGAAAGTTATGTACCCGCTCCTGTAAGTTATGTACGCTTTTGGACTTCTGATGATGCCCTACTTTTTCCGTATTGATCATCTTCTTTTGTGACGTGAAATATAGATAATTGTGTGTGTGCGTGTCTGTGTGTGTACAGTGTGTAAGGAGGCGAAGGCTGACCTGGTCTTCCTGGTGGACGGGTCCTGGTCGATCGGAGACGATAACTTCCTGAAGATCACACGGTTCCTCTACAGCACCATGGGTTCCCTGGACCTGATCGGACCTGAGGGCACCCAGGTCAGTCCCCACTGCCACTTTACAGACAGGGGCTTTAACATAACTCCCACAATTCTTGGTTTAAATGTAACTTTGTCACAGCAAATGTCCTTCATTCTTGTTGTTATTTATAGACCTCCTTCTTCAAATGCAGATTTTTATGAAAACCTGGACATTATATCAAAACAACTCAACCCTGCAAAAGAACTTATAATATTGGGTGATCTAAATGTTAATTGGGAAGTCAAGCAAATCAGGAAAAACTTGAAAAAGGTTATGGATAAAATGGATATGAATCAGGTGATTAAAGGCCCTACGAGAATTACAAACACTACGAGCACTCAAATTGACTTAGCTTTTACAAACAGGCCAGAAAGGATTTTGAAATCATACAATATGCTTACTGGATTGTCTGATCACAATCTCATAATGGTAACCAGAAAACTAAATAAAAAACGTTTTAAATCTTTGCCAGCCAGAGAATCCTTTAGGATACCAAAGCAGGAACAACAAACCTTCATAGATTCAATCCATGGTGTAAATTGGGATGAATTACTCTATGGCATAAACTTGGACAAGGACTGTTCTCAATTCTCTAACAAAATACAGCAAATTATTACACAATTTACACGGAAAATTAAACTAAGAGCTAAAAAAAATGGTCTTCCCTGGTTAAATGAATCTATTTTGAAATTGATGAAAGAACGAGATCATTCCTTGAAGTTGGCTGTAAAATCAGGCTATAACAGGAATCAATTTATCTCTCTAAGAAACAGAGTAGTGAAAGAAATAAGAAAATCTAAAGCTGACTTTTTCATCACTGCTTTGAAAAGTGCACGTGGAAATTCTAAAATAACCTGGCATTATATAAAAAAATTGACAGGTGACTCCCACAAAAGTAAGACCAAACAAATGCAAATTGAATTAAATGGAGACATTTCAACAAGAACCAAAAGTAATAGCTGATGCCTTTAACAATTACTTTATTGAATCTGTAGCAGAAATCTCTAAGAACTTTACAGTAAAACAAAAAAAAGAATACTCATTGTCTGCTACACAGTCTTTTTTCATAACAAACATCACTGAGACCAAAGTCATTAACATAATTAAAACCCTCAAACCATCTAAGGCCAGGGATGTCTTTGGAATGGATACAAACATGCTTAAAGATTCAGGATCCGCTCTGGCTACTCCCATTGCTTCCATCATTAATCTCTCAATTTCCAGTGGTCACTTTCCAAAGGCCTGGAAATCTGCTATTGTTACACCAGTTTATAAATCTGGTGTTCCAACCTCTCTGAATAACTACCGACCCATAAGCATTCTTCCGACCATTTCCAAAGTTGCAGAAAAATGGGTGGCTGAGCAGGTTGTCCAGTATTTAAACAATAGCTCCCCCTCTTTTCACGCCATGCAGTTTGGTTTCAGATCCAAACACTCCACTGAAACGGCTACATGCCTTTTTATTGAGAAAATAAAATCTTCTCTTGACAAGGGTGGAGTAGTAGGGACGGTATTCTTGGATCTCAGGAAAGCTTTCGACACAGTTAACCACTCTGTTCTACTTACTAAGCTCTCACAGTTTAATTTCTCTCGTGACACTGTGAGTTGGTTTGAATCTTACCTGCATGATCGTACACAATCTGTATTAATTAACAACAGCAAGTCGGAGTCTCTTAGGCTAACCACCGGGGTTCCTCAGGGCTCAATATTAGGCCCCCTCTTATTTAGCCTTTATATTAATTATCTACCAACTGTCTGCTCTGAAGTTGAATGTTTGATGTATGCAGATGACACTGTTTTATTTGTTCACGGTCGCTCAAAGGACATTGTTGCTGCTAAACTCACTAAAGCAATGAATCTTGTCACATCCTGGCTGCAGGAGAACTGCCTGCAGCTAAATATTTCAAAAACTGTAGGTATGTTTTTCAGTAAAGCCAATAGAGCCTCATTTACTCCTGACATACTAGTTGCTGGAAAAAAATTACAAATTGTAAATCAATACAAATATCTTGGGTTAGTAATCGACTCACACCTCTCCTTTAAAGCCCATATTGACAAATTATGCAAAAATATAAAATTTAATCTTGCAAATTTCCGCTCAATCCGTAATGAAATGTCAATCGAAGCTGCAATAATTTTTCTACATTCCATGATTCTCAGCCACTTTAACTACTGCCTAATAAGTTGGTCTCAGGCAAGTCAGAGCGCCAAAAGACCTTTGGAAACATTATACAAACAAGCCATTAAAGTCATGGACAAAAAACCAAGACACTATCATCACTGTACAATTCTTAAAAAGTACAGCCTTTTAAACTGGGACAGTCTCCATAGATTTGCAGATCTGAGTCTCATATACAAAGTAATACATAATTTAGCCCCAGGCTCTGTAAGAGGCGACTGTGTAATCCCTCTGCGCAGGAGTGCTTTCAGTCGCTCGGCCTGGTCAGTGAGGGGCGTCGTTGAGTGGAACTCAATGCCTGAGGAGGTTAGACAGCTCACCACTTACAAGGCCTTTACGAAAAAATTGAAAAATAGGTACATTAACATGTACGTCTGCCAACATTAAAAGCTGAGCATGTTATGCTGTATTGTATATCTAATGTATCCTTTTAAACAAGTGTTTTTTGTGTGTTTTTATATTGTAATCAGGTACTGTGTGCCTTTAGTTATTATACAGTGTCATTTATATTTTATTTGTTGTTATTGATGTGTCAAAGAATTGTAATGTTTTATCATGCTTGTATTTTAATGCCTTTTTACATCTTGGCCAGGGGACTACAGATGAAAAATAGCCGTCTGGCTAATTCTGGCTTTTTTTAACCATGTTTGTTCATGTGTTACATGAAATTGCACTGTCCCCTTTCAAATAAACCAATCTAATCAATGATGAGACTATGGAACTCCCACGCTTTGACTGCTCCCATTCAAACCAATGGAGAAATACCCCTACAAATATGATATGTCTGTGTTTGAATTTGGTTTTCCAATCTATGATAGATTCAGTCCAGATACTGTAATTTACACTTTACTGTGAACACACCCTGTAATCTACTCTCTGAATAACTACAACTGTTCTGTGAGGGCCTCAGAGCTATGTTTAGAATGTAGAGGTCACTAAACAGCAGCATGAAGTCCAAAGAGCACACCAGGGAGGTCATGGAGACGTTTACAGCACAAGTAGGTTATACAAACATTTCCTATGCTTCGAAAATCCCACTCAGCACTGTTTAATACATTGTGCGGGAATCAAAAGAGTATGGCACAACTGCAAATCTACCAAGACACTGCAGACCGTCCAAACACACTGCTCGATAAAAGGAGATAACAGGTCAATACTTGCCAATGGAAGTGTGAAATTGTTTTGTTGTTTTAGCTTGTTTTCACTTGATCCTGCTCTTGAAATAAGGGTATATAAGATAAATGCTGCTACTATTGACCTATTATCTTATTTGAGATCAGCATTTTTCCGAGTAGCACTGATTGTTACCACTAAAATTACGATTGTGACCACTAAAATTACGTTTTTGCTCCACTCAGAGCCCTGCAGGGTCGTGGAGCCTGCAGGACCTTTTACGTGATTGTGGTTCTACTGACATTGCATAAAATGGAGCTCAGAGCAATACGTCAGAGACTGAACACAAAAGAATCTGAATCTGAATCTCATTTTAGATCAATGAGCGTTTATAGCTGTAGCTCATTTTTAGCAAGAACTTTTTTGCCAATGTGTCACATAAGCATAAACCAGGGGCGGGAATTGTCAAAGATGTGTTGATTCGATAGTATTGACATTTTTGGGCCACAATTCAATATTATTGCAATTCACAGCAAGTATTGTGATTGATTTCTGTGATACAGTATATTGCGATTCATGTCCCTCATCTCACTCAAAGACAAACATGGAAAACATGGAGAAAAATGAGACTGAACTCGAATGTCACATTTATGGTCTGCAGATGAAGTGAGGCAAACTTTATCCTTGAACAATCAGGACACAGGACCTTATTACAGAGACATCATTAAATATGCCAATACTTTACTCTAATGTACCGATGTAATTGTGTGCCCAAAATATATCGCAATACTAAACTGAATCGATTTTTTCCCCCCAGCACAAATATAAACACAAACATCACACCTAAGTCACCTCAAAGCCGGAGGAGATATTGACTTCTACTGTGCGTGGTCTGAATCTCTTCTGTTTTTCACATTTAAACCTTGTGGTGGTTCCTGTGTCTCGCCTCAACGTCTGCGCTAAGTGAAAAATACAATATTCACTTTTCAACCAAGCTGTAAATTCCCCTAAAGATGTAGAATATGGTCAGGAGCTTATACGTCTCTCTGCGCTCTCTCTCATCTGTCCTTTGTCTGAGTATCGTCCTGTGTACGGCGCACATGGAAAACGCATTACTAAACGGACGGTGCCAACGCTTAAGCCGTAAAAATCATAAACCGGAGAAATATGGTATTATTTAAACATTTGTAATCGGGGGCTGAAGCTGAGCGCGTGTCTTTGTGGTTCATTTATAAGAATGTTTAGCAGCTTTTCACTTCAAGGGTCTCGGCTAAACTAGAGAGGGATCCAGTGGTTTGGTCTAGACTTTGATCATTTATTCTCGACAAACTCATTTTACACATTTCTAGTTTTAGCTTTGGCCCACATGGTCTTGAGTTGTTTAACTTTGGCATTTCAAGTACAAGTTTGGTTCAGACCGTTTTCCCTGCTCTTTGGTCTCTCTCTCTCTGGTCTCTCTCTCTGTTCGCTTCCTTTGGTCTCTGTCTCTAGTCTAGTCTCTCCTAGTTGCTCTGACATATTTGGGTTAAAGAAAACACTGGATTTCTTTTATTGAACTTCCTCTGCAACATTAAACAGTGGTGATAAAAAATGAGAGAGACCAGAGAGAGAGACTAGAAAGAGACAAAAAACCAGAGAGAGACCCGAGAGAGACCAGAGTTTGACCAGAGAGAGAGACCAGAGAGAAACCAGACCAGAAAGAGACAAGAGACCAGAGAGAGAGACC